CAAAGATAAACTAAACGATTTTCAATTTTTTTCAAAGATAAACGAAACAATTGTCATGAGAAATTTGATCTAATTCAAGAAAGAGCTTTTCAGGTAAAACAAAATGAATGTTTTATTGTTTTAATAAAACTTTTATGTAGAGAATCGAAAAGTATCAAAAAAGATTGAGTAGAAAAGATTTTGACTACAATTTGACTGCAATTTGACTGCAATTTGACTGCAATTTGAGTACAATTTGACTACAATTTGACTACAATATCAAGAAGCACTTATTTGTATTCAATCTCTGCATTTCCCACCACTCTCGCAACAGGAAATTAGCCCCATCGTAGTCAAATCCAAATAATCGATCCCATTTTTGTTCTCAAATTTCAAAACATTCACAATTTCTATTTCTATTTCTATTTCTATTTCTATTTTCTTCTCTTTTTTTGATTCACTTCTTCTTTAGAGAAGAATTTGATGCATATTTGAGTGATGGACAAGTGGAAAGAGTGAAAAGAGTGACAGAAATATCCAAGAATTGACCTATTGAAGAAGTTTTGCTGATCAGATGAATCTTTTTAGCTATTATCTGCTTGCTCTTGCTCTTGATCTTGCTCTTGATCTTGTTTCAGCCTTGTTTCAGTTTTCTTTCAGTCTTCTTTCAGTCTTCTTTCAGTCTTCTTTCAGTCTTCTTTCAGTCTTCTTTCAGTCTTCTTTCAGTCTTCTTTCAGTCTTCTTTCAGTCTTCTTTCAGTCTTCTTTCAGTCTTCTTTCAGTCTTCTTTCAGTCTTCTTTCAGTCTTCTTTCAGTCTTGATCTTGTGCAGTGTTCAATCTTGGATGTAACTTCGATTGACAAAAACTAGCCATCATTCTAAGTTCGCAAGTTTCTCCAAAAGTTTCTCTAAGTTTAGACGACTTAAATCCAAGATAGACTCAATAAAATGAATAGCTCAAATCGATTGAAACCCTGAAATCTTTTTAGCTATTATCTGCTTGCTCTTGCTCTTGCTCTTAATCTTGCTTCAGTCTTGTTTCAGTGAAAATCCCGGGTACAAATTTCCAGCTGAATATCTTCTACACCTCTCCAAAGCAATGTAAATGATTGTCAAGGTGTTCTTTGTGAGGTCGCGTAACCGCTCGCGATCTGGCATATCCCCTCAGCATAAGCGCTCGATTTTCCAATTGGCTCGGAGTCATTTTCCCTGTTACTATGCTCAAATTTTTCGGATCAATGCCCTAGATTTGGCTTCTTTTTTAGAAATTCCAGGTCAAGGGTCGATTGTTATGAAAAGTCGCTATTTTTCCGATTGATTTCTAACAAAACATAGATGGGGGTTGTTGCGTGAAACTGATAAAGTCGATACTTTTCCAAAAACAATGAAACCCACCTCCCTCACTTTCTGTTATTTCGAAATTTTGCAACTTTTGCTATGGCTATTGATAGTCTGCCACTTGGACATCTGCGACAACGTTGTAGCAATTTCTATAAGGACATAAGATCCTCTAGTGTTCAGCAAATATTAAAAATGTTTATGTGAAAGGATATGCTTTATCTAGCAATCGATAATTTGGTTTTAGTGAGAATCGGTCCTAATTTGGAGTCTTTTTCGGAGTCCTTTGAGTACTCAGTTGATTTTTATCTTTTTGTTTAGCTTTTAGCTACGTCATAGCTAAAAGTCTACTTTCAAGGAACTCAATTTCTTCTAGGATCCATTTGAAGAAAGTTTTCGCTTTGCCTAATCAAATCTTCAGTGTTTCAGACTAGATTCGAGCAGTTTTATTCTATTTCTGTCTGAGGTACATTAGAGAACTTTTAAAGGGGGTTTAAGGGCGCTTTTTCTCACAAATCCCAAGCTACGATAGTCAGCATTTTTCTATTGAGCAATGTTTTCTAAGAAATGCTAACTTCTAACTGCTAACTAACTCTCCGATTATCCCAGCAACAGGATTCTATTTTGTGCTTAGTTTAATCACTTTTGTGCTTAGTTTAATCACTTTTGTGCTTAGTTTAATCACTTCTCATACTGAGATATGTTTAAACCTTCTTTTCCCCATTTTCCCCAATTTTCCCCCTCACTAATTGTGCTACTCTAATTGCCATCTAGTCCTTTCTTTCACATTTTCATTTTCTTTACTTCTCAGCCTAATCCGACTCACATGAAAGCCCCACAATGGCCGCCTTTTTCCTTTTCATTCCACTGGGTTAAGCATTGATTTTTGGCTCTTAAGTTAAGCAGGATTTTGAAATGAAGCGAAGATTTGCTGATAAATTGCTACAGCTTCATATTTCAGCTAAACTATTAGCAAAAATTTGGTTAGTTTTAGGATTTTTCTGCTATATTTTGTATATTTTGTATATTTTGCGCTTTTATTCGGCTTTTTTGACTTTTTTTTGACTTTTTTTTACTTTCTTTTGACTTTATTCATTCAGAAAATAACCCTAAATGTTATATTAAACTTGCTAAACCTTGTAGTCAGTCCAGATTTATCTAGATGACCATTTAAAGTACTTTACTCACAAGAAAGTCTTTCACTTTAATGGTCGATCTTTATTTGTTTGTCTTTATTTGTATATTTACGATAAGAATACAATAGTTTTTCACTTTTACCCTTTGTTACTTTTATGTGAAAGTTGTTTCAAAAAAAACTTTCTCCTGGTAAGCTCAAAAAACTAGATCAGTCTCAACATTTTCTTGAATCTAATTGACAAATCGTCAAAGAAGATGCGTCTTCCATAGCTTTCCTTGTTGCTTGTAACTCTTCGTGTCCTGTCCTTGGCCCTTATAGAGTTAGAAGTACATCTTAAGAACTTGAGAAACTGTTAAAAGCAAAAAACTAGAATTTCTAGAACACTAGGGGCTCTTACAGAAGAGGCTCTCACAGAAGAGGCTTTTCTGTAAGAGCCTCTAGTGTTCAGCTAATATTAAAAATGTTTATGTGAAAGGATATGCTTTACCTAGCAATCGATAATTTGGTTTTAGTGAGAATCGATCCTAATTTGGAGTCTTTTTCGGAGTCCTTTAAGTACTCAGTTGATTTTTATCTTTTTTTTTGTTTAGCTTTTAGCTACGTCATAGCTAAAAGTCTACTTTCAAGAGACTCAATTTATTCTAGGATCCATTTAGAGAAAGTTTTCCCTTTGCCTAACCAAATCTTCAGTGTTTCAGACTAGATTCGAGCAGTTTTATTCTATTTCTGTCTGAGGTACATTAGAGAACTTTTAAAGGGGGTTTAAGGGCGCGTTTTCTCACAAATCTCAAGCTACGATAGTCTTTTCTATTGAGTTTTCTATTGAGCAATGTTTTCTAAGAAATGCTAACTTTCTCCGATTATCCCAGGAACAGGATCCAGGAACAGGATATTTTGTGCTTAGTTTTCGCTTTGTCTAACCAAATCTTCAGTGTTTCAGACTAGATTCGTCCGCTTCTGTCACTTGGGCATCTGCGATAATGTTGTAGGAATTTCTATAAGGACATAAGATCCTCTAGTGTTCAGCTAATATTAAAAATGTTTATGTGAAAAGGATATGCTTTGCCTAGTAATCGATAATTAGTGAGAATCCGCCAGATTTTGGTCTGACTTTATTGGACCTAACTGGCTTTTCTCATAAAAAAACCCTACTCTAGTTTACAGTTCTGGGTTTTACTTGGAAATTATCTAAAGTTGTTTCAAAAAAAACTTTCTCCTGGTAAGCCGAAAAGCTAGAATTTCTACAAGGACATAAGAGGCTCTAATGTTCAGATAATATTAAAAATGTTTTTGCATTGCGATTGGATTGATTGCATTGATTGCATTGATTGCATTGATTGCATTGATTGCATTGATTGCATTGATTGCATTGATTGCATTGATTGCATTGATTGCATTGATTACATTTTGATTGCGAATATTGCAATTACCCTTCTTTAATTAGCTTCAATTCTTCTTTTTCTTCAATTCAAAACAAAGCATCAAATAAAAACAAGTTATCGGGAGAAATTTTTCACTTTTAAACGGCGTCGATCGTTTGAGACGTCACTCGTTTAAGAATCAATCATTTAGTCGAAAATAAGCATTGCAAAAGCGTTCACATTACCGCCTGAATTCACTGCCATTCACTTGAAAAGACGGAAGACTTTCAAAATTTACATATCTTTCCTATTTTTTCTCTTTTTCCTCTTTTTTTCCACCGTCTAGAGTTTCATATGTGCGCTGAAGCGATCAGCAAAATTGGCCTCAAAAATCTACTCTTTCTTTGCCTCAATTTCCTTACTTTTCCTTCAAAAAAACCCTTCAATAATCGTCTTTTTTTTTTTCATATTTTTGGTCATTCTTTACTCTTTTTCTTCAAATTTTCCTTAAAATTGCTCTATTATTACCCCAAAAATTTGTTCATTTAAAGAAATTTAAAGAAAAACTAAACTCAAATCCGGGTTCTAGATGAATAAAAGATTCTTTATAAGCTTTTAAAGCCTTTTAAACCTCTTTAAAGCTCCTTAAAGCTCTTTATAATCTTTTTAAAGCTCTTTATAAGCTTTTCAAAGCTCTTTAAAAGCCTTTTAAAGCTCTTTATAAGCTTTTTAAAGCTCTTTAAAGCTCCTTAAAGCTCTTTATAAGCTTTTTAGAGCTCTTTATAAGCCTTTTAAAGCCCTTTAAAGCTCCTTAAAGCTCTTTATAAGCTTTTTAGAGCTTTTTAAACCTCTTTATAAGCGTTTTAAAGCTCTTTAAAGATCTTCAAGGCTTCTTAAAGCTATTATATTTATTTATAAGTTCTTTCTTTCTTCAATCTGGTTTTAACCCTTCAAACCATTTTGCCAATTTTTAGCTTTTCGTTTTCTATTTCAAAGGATTTCTTTCCGTTACCTCATTTGAATTGATTTTTCAAATTTTTAAAACAATTCAAAAGCGATTACAACGATTTTCTAGCCTTTTTTCCCGAATTTTTCCGAATTTCTTCAGATTTGTGTGCATATTCACAGAAAAAAACGAAAAATTGACGAAATTTCACAGAAATCCCTTCTTCTTCTTCTTCAAGAATGCCTGAGATGAGTCTACTCGCGCCGAATTCGATCGCCGAACTTTTGGAGAGGTTTGTGCACGCTTTTTTATATATGTCGTAGCCGATTATGAATGAGTGGGTCTAGGAGCGTCCAACCATCAAGTATTTAGTATCATTCAACGCAGAATCATTGATAATTATGTTAAATTTTTGAAATTAGAAAGATTGGATAAAAAGAACACAAATTATGGGGCTTCAAAGTTTTTTCTTGAACAAACAGTTTTTTTGCTCTAATTTTTTTTTTCTTTTCATCAAATCTTTCTAATTTCAAAAATTTAACATAATTACTAATGATTCTGCGTTGAATGATACTAAATACTTGATGGTTGGACGCTCCTAGACGCTCATTGGACGCTCCACCCATTCATAATCGGCTACCGGGGTCCCGCCGATTTTGAATGAAACGTTGTAGCGCCGCCAATTTTTAACCTAAACTCACAAATTTGGTACCAATCGACGCAGAATTCAATTTGCTACAAGATGATATAATATTGTCCTCATACATTAAAGGGTTGCTCTACTAGAAAGATTTGTCAAAAAATTTCATTCATAATCGGCTACGACATATATATGTTGTGTCCGATTTAGATTGAACTTATCGCGGACGTCCGATTTAGATTACAGTCTATATCGGACGTCCGATTTAGACTCAATCTAAATCGGACGTCTTATATAGATTGAACAATAATATAAACATGTTTGATATATTTTCTTAAGCGTTTTCTGTAGTTTTCTGCATTTTTCAAAGGTCTATTACTGTCTTTTTCTGAAAAGAAAACCCAACTATGAAATAATCAATAAAAGACCTTTGAAAATGCAGAAAACTACAGAAAACGCTTAAGAACATATACTAAACATGTTTATATTATTGTTCAGACGTCCGATTTAGATTGAGTCGTCCGATATAGACTGTAATCTAAATCGGACGTCCGCGATAAGTTCAATCTAAATCGGACGTCCGATTTAGATTCAATCTAAATCGGACGGAAATCTAAATCGGACACAACATATATAAAATCTAAAAGATGATTCAAATCTAGTTTAAGAATTATGAATTAAGTGATTGATGAAAATAAGTGATTTTTTTTGTGATTTTTGAAATTTTTACTATCAAATCAACAAATCTGCGAATTTTCTGAAAGCTTTTGTTATTAAAATGATAGGAAAAGATTGTTTCTGAATTTTTGAATGATTTTGAATACGGCAAAAGCTTTGTGTTTAAACTTTGACAACTTTAGAACTTAGAAAAGTCGATTTCAATCTAAATTTCGATTTACAGTTCAATTTATATTTAAATTCGATTTAAATTCGATTTAAATTCGATTTCTATTCTATTTCTATTTCAATTTACAGCTCAATTTCAGAGATTTTACAATTAAAAATCGTTTTCCACTCACCCATCTTTGAATTTCTCAAAAAAAAAACATTGAAATTATTTGCCGTAAAGCTTCTTTCGTCTCTAGCCAAGCAATTTTTTATCCGAAAGTGACATTTATATATATATGCTTTATATGCTTTATTCAGGAGGGCGAATAGAAACGAATCAGATAATCATAACCGCATATAATTGCTACAATACTTTCACAAAAAAAGAAAGAAACCTAGAGATACAGTAAGACGATAGTCAGGAAAAACAGGTACAAAAAGATTAAATATAAGGCAGATTTGACATGGCAATTAGATCTAATTCGTTTACAGATACTTTGAATTTTCCTACAGACGAGAAGATACCAGGCGGGAGCTTATTCCAAACCCTACTAATACGGTTCGCGAAAGAATGATAAAGGGAAAGGTGGTGGGGATGAGAACCGAGCGAAATTTGATAAGGATGACTACGGGTTCTTCTAGGACTTTCCACAATTTTCAAGAGACTTTGAAATTCCGGATGCGCCTTAGGGTGGAAAAGGATTTTATAGCAGAAAATCAGATCAAAGTAAATACGGCGATATAAAAGGGGTTTTAAATCGAAAACTATAAGTCTAGTCTCATAATTTGGAATAAGAGAAGCTCAATACAGCTCAATTTCAGAGATTTTACAATTAAAAATCGTTTTCCACTCACCCATCTTTGAATTTCTCAAAAAAAAAACATTGAAATTATTTGCCGTAAAGCTTCTTTCGTCTCTAGCCAAGCAATTTTTTATCCGAAAGTGACATTTATATCATAGAAAGTGTTTCATCACTTACGTTAGACCCATTCTAGAGTATGCATAGTATGATCAATAGCTTGGTCTCCACAAACATATCTCCACAAACATATGATATCTCTCGCCTAGAAAAAATCCAGCAAATCCAGCAAATCCAGCGATCCACGATATACGAAGATAGCTCGATGGAAAATCGATTTTTGCCAAATTTGCAAACTTTATTGACACAGATAGACTCTAAATTTCTGATCTTAAATCTCTTAGACACCACCGCTTGGTCGCGAATTGAATAGAATGTTTCCGAATTGTAAAGGGCAGGCAATCGATCCCTCTTTTACGAGATTTATTCAAAGTTAATCCCACGGTTAATTCAAGGATTCTTTCGTTTAGAATTAGATTCTTTTTTAGTTAGATTCTTTAGATTCTTTAGAAATTCCAGTCACCTCCAATCAGTTTGTTTATAACTCTTTTCCAATAAGAACTGCCACAATTTGGGATCGACTCCCCAGAGTTAGAGAGTTTTGTGAGAGTCCAATCGTCTCGAAATCTTTAAATTATCTGTAGATGACCTTGATCTTGAAGCTCTAGTGGATTCTTGACGTTATCTATGCTATCCATAGCTATGCTATCTATATATTCCATCAATTATATCGTGGTGCTTTTTATCGACCCTTTTCGTGTTATGCGTATGAATTCATATGTTTTAATCTTAAATCTAGCGCACTTTATTTCAGGTCATAAATAAAGTATCTATATATATCTATATATAGATACTTTATTTATTTATATCTATATATAGATATATTTATATATATATAAATAAATAAAATCTAGCAAAATTCCAGTTAAATCTAGCAAAATCCGGTCAAATCTAGTCAAATCCGGTCAAATCTAGTCAAATCCAGTCAAATCTAGCTAAATTCAGTGAAATCTAGTCAAATTCCAGTTAAATCTAGTCAAATCCAGTTAAATCTAGTCAAATCCGGTCAAATCTAGCAAAATCCGGTCAAATCTAGCTAAATTCAGTGAAATCTAGTCAAATTCCAGTTAAATCTAGCAAAATCCGGTCAAATCTAGTTAAATCCAGTCAAATCTAGCTAAATTCAGTGAAATCTAGTCAATTCCAGTTAAATCTAGCAAAATCCGGTCAAATCTAGTCAAATCCAGTTAAATCTAGCTAAATTCAGTGAAATCTAGCAAAATCCGATCAAATCTAGTCAAATCCAGTCAAATCTAGTCTAGTCAAATTCCAGTTAAATCTAGCAAAATCCGGTCAAATCTAGTCAATTCCAGTTAAATCTAGTCAAATCCAGTTAAATTAAGCAAAATCCGGTCAAATCTAGTCAAATCCAGTTAAATCTAGTCAATTCCAGTTAAATCTAGCAAAATTCCAGTTAATTAAATAAATATACGAAAAATTAGCTAGAATTCCCATTTTCTTAGCCACACTATTTGTTTACAATATTTGAGAAAGAAAGAGGAAAGGAAAAATTTGCTACATCAGATTTTTCATAAACAAAAAGCAGCCTTTCGAAATTTCAATTCAATTTTCCAGTTATTCCTTTCTTATTTTTTTACTATCGAATCTCTAAAAAAACCTTCTAAACTCATTTCTTGACTTCTTCAACCAAAATTTCGAACTCAATTATTTTTTGAGAGCAATTTTGAGAGCATTCTTTAGCGAGCTTTGTGTTTCATTTGTTCGTTTCTTTCGAAAATGACGAATTAATTTCTCGGAATTTTTCTTGAAATACTCTTGCAATATTCTTGAAATATTCTTGCAATATTCTTGTTTATTTTGGAAAGATATTCAATTATTAGAGTCCTTTTTTTCATAAAGAACCTACCATAAATACTGTAATAGTACCCCAGTCCGATAATGACGGTGCGGAGTGTTGTGTAGTCTATTTCATCAATTTTAGTTTTAGAATAGGGTGGATCTTCTTTTGATACCTCTAAGGTATGGTAATAGATATGGTAATACCTACCATAAATACTGTAATAATACCCCAGTCCTATAATCACGGTGCGGAGTGTTGTGTAGTCTAGCTTTGAACGAGTTTTTCTCGACACTGGTTTAAGCTACAATGCTCGTTTAAATATCAAAAAATAGCCCTGAATTTCAGCTATTTTTTGATATTTAAACGAGCATTGTAGCTTAAACCAGTGTCGAGAAAAACACGTTCAAAGCTAGACTACGCAACACTCCGCACCGTCATTATCTTTGGTATCAAAAAATAGCCCTGAATTTCAGCTATTTTTTGATACCAAAAACGAATTTTTTGAAAGTACGGGTGCTTTGAAAAAAATGAAATACGAAAAAACTTTTGCGACTACGCAACTGTACGAGGGGGCGGCGGGGTACTATTACAGTATTTACGGTAGGTACTTGTCGGTTATACATCCACACAGACTCATCTCGGTTAAGAAAGGAGCTGACAACTTGTGAGGGATAATTATGCTCAGTGAAGTAAGTGTAGGGAAGTTTAGTGCTCGTCTGAAGTCATCAGTTGATCAGTCGAACGAGAATCGATAACCGAGAAGACTCGCATGGAGATGCTAAAATGGAGATGAGATTAGTCTTTGTGGATGTATAACCGACAATTGCGAGAATTAGAGATAATAGAGAGAACCTCTAATAGTAGTGCACTCTAAGCGTTGCCTAAATTCCTTGAAATCTCGAAAAGCGCTTATCAGAACCTATCGATGTGGGATCGGAAAATGGAGCTGACGACGAGATCTAGTGAATGATTTGAGCGTTGAGCTTCTGGGAAAGCTTTAGAACGATAAAATAGCCACCAACTCGGCTCGGCTGGGGTGCACTACTATTAGAGAAAATAATTGTAAGCATTTCTTTGGCTAATGTATGCTAAAAACCTACAGTATCTTTGCTTAAGCTTAGCTTAATAGTAAGCTTAGCTTAGTAGTAAACTTCAAGCTACAGCTAGCTTGAACCAATTGCTACAATATTCAGCTGTAAGATTGAATATCTTTCGATTTCTTTAGACACTCAGCCTCATCAGGTTTTCAGATTACTTTATGTAAGTTCATAAAAACAAATTCTGACTAGAGATTTCCTTTTCTCCAAAATTTTTCATTAAAAACTCTTTTCAATCAATTTCCCACAATAAATCTTTTCTTTTTCAGTTCTTTTCTTTTTCTTATTCTTCTTTTATTCATTTCTTTTCGATAAATATCATTTTTTGCATTTCATAAACGTCAATTACTTAAATTACTTCAATTTTCTTCAGAAAGAAAGAAAAAGAAAATCGAAAATGGATAGCGAACAGGAGACTTCTTTCCTCATTATACCAAATAACAGGTGCTTGAAAATTTTTGGTTTTGGTTTTGGTTTTTTAATTTCAACTTTTACTTCTTATTTTACTTCTTATTAAGTACTTCTTATTAAGTACTTCTTATTAAGTACTTCTTATTTAGTACTTCTTATTTAGTACTTCTTATTTAGTACTCCTTATTTAGTACTCCTTATTTAGTACTTCTTATTTAGTACTTCTTATTTAGTACTTCTTATTTAGTACTCCTTATTTAGTACTCCTTATTTAGTACTTCTTACTTAGTACTTCTTATTAAGTACTTCTTATTTAGTACTCCTTATTTAGTACTCCTTATTTAGTACTCCTTATTTAGTACTCCTTATTTAGTACTTCTTATTTAGTACTTCTTATTTAGTACTTCTTATTAAGTACTTCTTATTAAGTACTTCTTATTAAGTACTTCTTATTAAGTACTTCTTATTAAGTACTTTGTGATCATCAAAAACCCTTTCTAACTCATCAATCGAAACGTTGAAACAGCTAAAGACAGTCAATGGTGACTAAACAAACAAACCATCATAACAATCATAGGCAAAGTCTCAGCAGATCGCAGCTATACTGCTCTACTGAGTACAATACCTTGACCAGCGATCAGCGATCAGCAATCAGCGATCAAGTGATCGTATGCAAGTGATCTTGCGCCCTCGAGAAACCGAAGTGATCCGGCCTTGGCAACTCTTTGACAACTCTTTGACAACTCTTTGACAACTAGGATTCACCCAACGAGCAAGGCCATCTGATGTCATCTGGCTGAGCATAAGCTGTAGCGTTACCACTACATAAAAGTGCCTCCCGACACCGAGAGAGCAAAGTTATCATTGCCTTGACTAGGTGGGATTGATTGATTCAGGCTTTTAAATGATACAAAATACAAATTGATTGGAGCGATGAATCCAGAGAAAATTAAGGCTTAATCTTAAGAGGCTCGAGTCTCAAGTCTTCTCAGTTTAACAGCTTGTTTAGCCAACAATTCTAAAAAAAAACGAAATTTTTGTCTTTTAAATGGCTCAAAACTAAACTCAAAACTCTCTAAAGAGTTTTGATTGTTCAAAATCGATCTTTCACCACTTGAGTGTTGATTGTTGATTGTTATTCTTTCTCTTTCTTCTCAAAGATAATTACTGCCGCCAAAACGGCCAACAATGGCGCTCAAATCCCCAAAGATGAAAATTAAATACTTGAGAGAAATCTTTCTGAATAGATTCTCTCTGAATTCTTTCTCTGAATAGATTTCTTCTCTTCTTCTTCTTTATTTCTTCTAGAAAACTATACTTTGCCTTTTGCTTTTTGATGATACCGTTATTTTGAGTGATTTTGGTAAGTGATAACTTTAAAACTTGCGAAAATTTGATCTAATTTTTGCTGAAAGAGAAACGCACCCTTTCTAGCACACTAGATACAAATAAAACACTTTAAATGGGTTGCTAGCAAATAGGAATTGACTTTATTTACTTTACTTTACTTTACTTTACTTTACTTTATTTTACTTTACTTTATTTTACTTTATTTACTTTATTGATTTTATCTACCCTAAAGCTACCAGCTTCTACCTCTTTAGATACCGTAAATACTGTAATAGTACCCCCTGCCCTTGTACAGTCGCGTAGTCGCAGTCGCAAAAGTTTTTTAGTATTTCATTTTTTTCAAAGCACCCGTACTTTCAAAAATTCGTCTTTGGTATCAAAAATAGCTGAAATTCAGGGCTATTTTTTGATATTTAAACGAGCATTGTAGCTTAAACCAGTGTCGAGAAAAACGCGTTCAAAGCTAGACTACGCAACACTCCGCACCGTCATTATCTTTGGTATCAAAAAATAGCTGAAATTCAGCTATTTTTTGATATTTAAACGAGCATTGTAGCTTAAACCAGTGTCGAGAAAAACGCGTTCAAAGCTAGACTACGCAACACTCCGCACCGTCATTATCTTTGGTATCAAAAAATAGCCCTGAATTTCAGCTATTTTTTGATATTTAAACGCGCATTGTAGCATAAACCAGTGTCGAGAAAAACTCGTTCAAAGCTAGACTACGCGACACTGCGCACCGTCATTATGAGGGTGGGGTATTATTTCAGTATTTAAGTAAGCACTTTTTCTTTGCTTTGCTTCTGGGGAAACTTTGCTGGAAAACTTTACATAAACGCACCCTTTCTGGCTTATTTATACTATCATTGCAAATATAAATACGAATCAAATACGCTAGAAAGGTTGTGTTTACATTTGAGTACGAAGTACAAAGTATAAAGAGAAATGTAAGGTGATTTTTGACAACAAATTTTACAATGGTAATAACAATAATGGTAATATTTCTTTTAAAATGGTAAATAATGAAAGATTTTGCACTGGGATTCATCTTAAAGTAGGGTCAGGGAAGAGGAAGAGGAAGAGGCTAGAGTCTAGAGCTTAGGCTTGACCCTATCTATAAGGTTGGCCTTGCTAGCATTTTTTTTAGATATCATCAGTTTAACCTGCTCCTTAGCTGTTGTGACATCCAACTAGACGTTTCTATGTTTTGTAGCAATGCTACAGTAATCTGGGAGACAGATTCTAGATGGCACCCAAGTTACAGTAACTGCCTACCATTTTTTGAAAGATATCATCAGTTTAACCTATTCTTTGGCTTTTGTGACATCCAACTAGACGTTTCTATGTTTTGTAGCAATGCTACAGTAATCCGGGAGACAGATTCTAGATGGCACCCAAGTTACAGTAACCGCCTACCATCTTTTTCAGATATCATCAGTTTAACATATTCTTTATCTGTTGTGACATCCAACTAGACATTTCTATGTTTTGTAGCAATGCTACAGTAATCTGGGAGACAGATTCTAGATGACACCCAAGTTACGCAGTTAGCCTACCATTTCTTGAAAGATATCATCAGTTTAACATATTCTTTATCTGTTGTGACATCCAACTAAACATTTCTATGTTTCGTTTTGATGCTACAGTAATCCAGAAGTCATTTAAGCAAAAGAGGAAAGATTTTACTATATTACTACAATAAAAGCGACATATATTAGAAAAATTTTCTTTTAAACCCTCAGCCAATTTCTCTCCGTTGCCCCGGTCACCCCAATAAGCTCGATTTTTCAAACCTCGAATTTACTAACTGAAATAAGAGAGATCATTAGAGAAATAGATCTCTAATCATCTCTTATTTATTTGAAATTTCACTAAAACAAGATTTTTATTAAAGAATTTTACTAATCTCATCGATTTTCCAGTGTTATTTCTGATTTATACTAAAATGCCGAATGTTAGCTTATCGGCGTGAGTTTTTTTTAGCCAAAAAAAAAGAGAAACCTTAAAGGATAATCTTGCAGGGATAATCTCTATAAAAAGGTAAAAATAACTAAAATTCTCAAAGTTTATTATAAGTTTTAACAGTTTTTAACAAATTTTAACAAACAAACAAACAAATTTCCTTTTTAGAAGAATGTCTCTGAGTGCAAGAACGACGAAAAACCCAATGATTCGCCACAAATCAACGGACAAATCGGGCGGTGGGAAAAGCGGGGGAATGATTGAAGCGATAAAGGTCGGTTTTTCAAGATTTTTGAGAGAAACAGTGATTGTTTTTGCTTTTGAGATGCTTTTGAGAAAAAGAAATAAACTAAAAGTGAGCTTTTGTTGGAACTGGGGAACTTTATTGATTGAATTGATTGAATTGATTGAATTGGTTCGATTGGTTCGATTGGTTCGATTGGTTCGATTGGTTCAATTCGTTCAATTCGTTCAATTGGTTCAATTCGTTCTCGTTCAATTGGTTCAATTGGTTCAATTGGTTCAATTGGTTCAATTGATTCAATTGGTTCAATTGGTTCAATTGGTTCAATTGATTCAATTGGTTCAATTGATTCAATTGGTTCAATTGGTTCGATTGGTTCGATTGGTTCGATTGGTTCAATTGGTTCTGGCTTTCTGTCTAGCAATTGCTTGCCTCAAGATGTTACTATTAAAATCGTTGAACTGTTGTTTTTTTCAATTCAATCAATTCAATCAATTCAATCAATTAAATCAATTCAATCAATTCAATCAATTCAATCAATTAAATCAATTAAATCAATTAAATCAATGGGGAATCTGAAACTGAAATCAAAATCTATCAAATGAGTTTCCTGGTGTGTTTTACATCGAAAATTTCATTGAATCGAATATTTCACGTCAAAATGGTTTCTTTAAAAGGTTGCGAAAAGAAAATAGCATTACATTACGGTATTTGAGAAAAGGGGCAATTTTTAGAAAGCGTTTAGAGTTCGAAGGTGCTTTCTGGAGTACTGTAGCGCAAAGTAGAGCGAAAACTTTTTGAAAAAGCATGGGAAATGCTTTACTTATATCAAAAGTGTCAAAAGTTATATAGGGAATTGTGGCCCTGAATCTTGGCTACATTTCTCTACCAAAAACTTCCCGATTGGATTTGTACAACTCATTTAACAAGCGCTTGAATGAGCGCTAATCGACATCTCTCCAAATCTCTCATTTCGTCGCTTTTCTCTATTAAAAATTGTTAAGAAAAGCTTTTCAATATTGGGAAAATAGAGTTTAACATCATTTAATAATATTAAGAATTACAATTAACTTTTTTGACCGAATGAACTGAACTGAACTGAACTGGAGCTGAAATTAACTGGCAGAACCAAAAGTGGCTAACCAGAAGTACAAGGTGACTTTTTGGAAAAGTAGCTGGGAAATGTGTAATTGATTTCAAAGGTAAGTGTTCTATAGAGAATTGTAGCCCTGAATCTTGGCTACATTTATCTACCAAAAACTTCCCGATTGGATTTATACAACTCATTTAACAAGCGATTGAATGAGCGCTAATCGAAACTGTCATTTGGCTGCTTTTTTGCTGCTGAAACTGCTTTTTTCTATTAAAAATTGTTAAGAAAAGCTTTTCAATATTGGAAAAATAGCGTTTAACATCATTTAATAACATTAAGAATTAATTAACTCAATCACAATTAACTTTTTTGACTGAAATGGCATAGCCAAAAGTGGCTAAACGATAGTTTTGCAAAGATGTCGATTAGCGCTCATTCAAGCGCTTGTTAAATGAGTTGTATAAGTTGAATCGGGAAACTTTTGGTAGAGAAATGTTGCCGAGAATCAGAGCTACAATCCTCTATATAACACTTGAAACTTTTGAAATAAGTAAAGCATTTGGCAGATACTTTTTCTGTCGCTATACTTTGCGGTCACTCTGTAGAGTGGAGGCAGTTTAATCTACAGCACAACGATCTACAGCACTTCTATAGTGCTGTAGATCGTTGTGCTAATAGTAAAATGATTTTAAAAAACCTTTAAACCTCAACAATTTCTCACCAAACTCTTAAAGAAATATTTGATTTTACGGAAAAAAAAGGGAAATAAACGATTGTTTTTCTTTTTTAAGCCATCTGGTGCCTTCAAAAAGAAGAATAAAAAAGAGAAATCATTTCCAGATTCCCATAAAATTCACTCAACCAAAAATTTCTTTTCAATTTTTGGTTCTGAAAGCTCTTTTAGCTCTTTTAGCTCTTTTAGCTCTTTAAGCAATTGTTTCTCTGGCTTCTCTGGCCAAAGATTTAAGTCTTTTTTCCTTCTTTAAATCATAATCAACTATAATCTTTGCCGGATCTAATCTCACAAAAAAAATCAAAACAATTTTTGGCGCATTCATTATTCAAAATCTTTTAAGTCTCTTCAAGATTTTTGAGTACTTTCATTTAGTAAACGCACCCTTTCTATTGCACCTTCTAGCCGTTTTTTTGTAATTTTGACAGGAAATGAAATGGAAATAAAATTTAATACGAAAGAAAGAGTGTTTTTATAAAGTTTGAGCCAACTAACGAGTATGTTCTAAATAAAGTACTGTATACTGTATTGTGGTTATCGGATCGATCCGACAAGACTGATCCGATCCGTCCAACCGAGCCAGCCAGATCCGATGGGTTCGATCAATCGGCCTAGCCCAATCCGATCCACTCAACCGATCGGTGTAGCCCGATCCGATCCAATTCGATTCGATAAGGTCGACCAATCGGTCTGGCTTGATTCGATCCGATTGATCGATCGTTCTAGTCCAATCCGATCCATCCAACCGATTGAGCTAGCCCGATCCGATCCCTAGCTTGCTTCGACCAATCATTCTAGCCCAATTCGATCCATCCAACCAATCGGTGTAGCCAGATCCGATCCTTAGCTTGCTTCGACCAATTGTTCTAGCCCAATCCGATCCATCCAACTGATCGGTGTAGCCAGATCCGATCCGCTAGCTTCGACCAATCGTTCTAGCCCAATCCGATCCATCCAACCGATCGAGCTAGCCCGATCCGATGGGTCCGACCAATCGTTCTACCCCAATCCGATCCATCCAACCGATCGGTGTAGCCAGATCCGATGGGTCCGACCAATCGTTCTAGCCCAATCCGATCCATCCAACCGATCGGTGTAGCCAGATCCGAATCGATCCGATCGACCAATCGGTCTCGCCCGACCCGATCCATTAAACCGATCGAACTAGCCCCAACCGATCCACTAGCTTCAACCAATCGGCCTAGCCCGATTCGATCTGATTTTCCCAAAAAAAAATGTCTACTGCATAGCACTGAATTCGAGATGATTTTTGGTGTACTTTATCATTTGGTCTATGCCAGAAAAGGTGCGCTTACCGGTTCGCATAAAGTACACTCAAAGACTATGCTAATAAGTGAAAATTTTCTCTAAATAACTGTTAACCCATACAAATTTGACTCAAAACCAATCTATATCCAGAAAAAAAGTCAAAAGAAAACAATATTCATAAATATTTTAAATTCCTCCTCTTTCCTCCTCTTTCCCCAATTTTTCCGCGTTTTTCCCTTTTCTTCTTTTGTCACACCGGGTAACGAACGAAAATTTAAATCTTTTTCAAAAAAAAAATACTTTAAAACAATAAATTTACTGAATATTTGAAGTTTTTTGCAAATTAAACTCAAAAACTAAACATAAACTCAATCTCTTTTAGCTTAAAATTCCCAGGAATATGTTCTTGACGGGAAAATCTCATACATTTTATATTCACCTTTTGATTCGATTCTTGAAATTCTTCAAATTCTTCAAATCGCAGATTTTTATAGATTTAGAACCTTTTTCTTTAGAGAAAACAAGAATTTGATCATAGAATTTGATTAGAATTTGATTATTCTATAACAAAACCTTTGATTCTTGTCATTCTTTTGATTCTTTTGGCTCTTTTGATTCTTTTGATTCTATTTTGATTCTTTTGGTTCGTTTTTGATTCGTTTTTGATTCGTTTTTGATTCTATTTTGATTCTTTTCATTCTTTTAATTCTATTTTGATTCTATTTTGATTCTTTTCATTCTTTTAATTCTATTTTGATTCTATTTTGATTCTTTTCATTCTTTTCATTCTTTTCATTCTTTTTTGATTCTTTTTTTAATTCTTTTTTAATTCTTTTGATTCTTTTTTAATTCTTTTCATTCTCGTTTAATTCTTTTTTAATTCTTTTCATTTTTTAGACTTTTAGAAACAGGAAATCTTTGTTGAAATCATTTCTAAACATTTCTAAACCTGGATACTCTAAAGATGGTCGCCGAACTGCAACTAACAACACCAAATTCGATAAAACGCGGGAATTCGTTTAAAAAACTACTGAAGATGAACTCGAGATCGAATTTCTCCGATAAGCAAGTACTTGGTTTTGAAGAAATTCTCGTGAAAGTAGCATCTAATGACATCCATTCATTTCAACTATTATTAGAAATTTTAGCCTTACTTGGCCAGGTTCCTTACTTGACCCCATTCCTCGCAGCCCACGAAGCTAATGACATAGCGCATTGCCCAAGCTCTCGACTATGAGTCGAAGCCTCCCTGGTTCGATCCCATCCTCGCCTCTCGTTTTTCATTTTTTTTCCTTTTTCCGATTAAGTCTTGGATTGATACCACACTTAACACGTTGACGACATTGTCACCTGATGCTGTCTGATACATATTCGTTCGCCTGGGAGATTGTCACCTGATTTCGGGTGACATTTTTGTCGAAAAAAACAACGTTGTCCCATGCGATTGTTTGTGCAAAAACGCTATTGTCGTCAACGTGTTAAGTATCAAATACCAGAATTTTTTCTTATTTTGGTGTCAACGTCCATCAAAGATATCTCGAATCAAAGACATCTCGAATGAAAGAAATCTCGAATCAAAGACTTCTCGAATCAAAGACTTCTCGAATCAAAGACTTCTCGAATCAAAGATATCTCGAATCAAAGACTTCTAACAACACCCAAAACAAGAGTTTTTCAGTAAAATTTCTTCAATTAACGCAAATACTTTCTAACATTCAGCAAAAGCTTTCGAAATATTAAAGTCATTTATTATATTTTCTTTCTTTTACTTCTCAACTTCCCCTTTTTTCTTTTTCCCTTTTCCCTTTCCCGCCAAATTTTCAATTAGCACTTTCAATTAGAAAAACCCATTTTCAACTGCCGCTTTTTCGTGATAGATTTGAGATTTCTCATTCGAAAGAAAACTTCGCCAAAAGCTTTGACCAACAAATATTCGAAAGCTAGACTAAATCATTGATAATATTTCTTGTTTTTATCCCCATGCCCCAACTAAATCAAGCGAATAAGAAGAAACTCGCAAGGAAGACCTCTTTTGCCCCAACGAGTGCTTTCGATATGGTAAATTTTTTGAATTTGAATTTTTTTTGTTTTTCGAACCATTTGGTTCACTGATTCACTTCTCACGGGCCATTTAATGAACGAAACGCGCTCGGAGGCGCCTAATCTTTTCACCATCTGATATTAGCTTTGATGGTAACAGTTCACTTGTTTCCTAAGCCTAAGCCTAAGCCTAAGCCAAGCCTAAGCCAAGCCTAAGCCTAAGCCTAAGCTAAGCCTAAGTTAAGCCTAACCTAAGCTAGCCTAAGTTAAGCTTTGATGGTAACAGTTCTCTTGTTTCCTAAGCCTAAGCCTAAGCCAAGCCTAAGCCTTTGACATTCAAGTCTCAACACTTCTATCGACTTAAGCAATGTCCCATAGCGTGCATCGAAGCTCTGTGAAGCTTTTTCCTAGCACTAAATTAAACGTTTTTTTAAAACCAAAGCTTAGAACAAAGAAAACAAAAAATTACAACAAAAAACTAAGAAAAGAACAAAAATTTAAAAGAGTTTTCCTTGTAAAACAGTGAAATTCTATTGTAAGAGAGATGAGGCGGTAATTGTGATGCGCCAGCACTTCACTTTGAGCTCATCATCATCCCAGCAATCCCAGCAAGTCATCAACAACTCCAAATCCGATGTATGGCTTCTTCTCTTTCGCTTTTCTCCCACCTTTCTCCAATTTCGTCGATTGACTCGAAATGAGGAATGCAAGGATGAGAAAAGCAATGGATTTTCTTCTCCCAGCAACCCCCCTCTCTTCCCTTTTGTCTCATAAAAATTCAATTCGCTCGGCAGCTGAAATTAGAAAATTTTCCGGCTGGACGAAAAATTGACAACAAATAAGCTGTCGTTCAAATCGTTACTCGACTCCTCGGCACGAATGCAAGAGAGAATGCATCGGTACGCGACTTCGGTCAGAAATGCCTCGATCAGCTCATCAGGACAAGGATCAGCGAGGATGAAGAGGTCAAGGCTGACAATCAAGGTCGGTATTCAGCTTTTACAGCTATATTGTTATTGCTTTTCTGAATTGATTTCTGAATTGAATTCTTTTTGCTGTTGGAACTCATTCGATGTTACTCATCCAATGTTAAATATTTGAATTGAACAGCGCAACACCAAGATATTTCAGCTTAAAGTTAGCTTGCTAAAGGGAAAAGAGCCGTGCGTGTTTCAAACGTCCTAATCAAACCTAATCAAAACATGAACGGTGCCGGCTAGAGTGTGCTCCTTGTTGGCTCCTTGTCTGCAAGGAACACACTCTAGTGCTGGCCATGGAGTTCACCAACTTTGATACGCCATATCTACAGATGTACTCGACAGAACCCATAAGTGTTATTTATTCGGAAAGCTCAGGTTGAGCTCTACAAGATGGTATCAGTTTTTCTATGTTTTCTATTTTATTCAGGGTTTTTTTGCCCTTCTGAACACCAAAGTTGAAACCTAGAAATTTTCAAAGTCACTTTTCATCGCGATATCGTCGTCAAATCGTGCTGAAAGTGTGTTTTTTGGAATCTACGCAAAAAAAATTGGCCCAGGAGAGTAGAATTTGAACAATTGCAACTGGGATATCTTAGGAGAGTTGACTCGGTCAAAAGACAAAATTTCTCGAGCTATCAACAAAAAATTGATAAATCGAAATCGATTCTTTTTGCATTTTTTCTCTTAGTTGGACATCATTTAAGAGTTGTTAGTGCTTAGATTTTTGATTTGAAGACAAAAAATCTTGTACTCGTTGTGGTGCGTGTATCAAACGTCCGACAACCCATTCGCAAGTATTTGGAGTGTAAAACCGCGTAGTCGTTACAGTTTTACTAAGAATTTTTAGGTCAAATTCAAAGAAAAACAAAACTATTTAAGTGATTCGATAGCTCGGAATCTTCTCTTGAAAACTAGTATAAATTAAGGAAGAAATCTTTCTGCAAAATGAGTTTTGAGTCTTAAAAAGTCTTAAAAAGTTGTGTTTGACAGGAAAAAATAATCGTCCTTAGTATGGTCGAGAATTCGTTGATTATTTCAGCTTTCTTTTGGTTTTGTGATAATTTTTGAACAAGCTTTTGATTAAATTGTTTGAAATGTTTTGATTTTATTATTTCCATTTCAATATTTCCATTCTATTCATTTCATTCATCACATTTTCAGCTTTATTTTGGACTTACAAATCATCACTTAATCATTCTTAAATCTAACAGTTTAACAGTTAAACTGGAAATAAAATCGGAACCAAAGTAGGGGATAAAGCTCTACTCTGGCTCTACTCCGCACGTGTCGCTGTAGCTCATTGGTAGAACGTTCGCCCGCTAAGCGAACGGCGCCCAACTAAGCGAACGGCGCCCAACTAAGCGGACGGCGCCCAACTAAGCGGACGGCGCCCAGCTAAGCGGACGGCGCCCAGCTAAGCGGACGGCGCCCAGCTAAGCGGACGGCGCCCAGCTAAGCGGACGGCGCCCAGCTAAGCGGACGGCGCCCAGCTAAGCGGACGGCGCCCAGCTAAGCGGACGGCGCCCAGCTAAGCGGACGGCGCCCAGCTAAGCGGACGGCGCCCAGCTAAGCGGACGGCGCCCAGCTAAGCGGACGGCGCCCAGCTAAGCGGACGGCGCCCAGCTAAGCGGACGGCGCCCAGCTAAGCGGACGGCGCCCAGCTAAGCGGACGGCGCCCAGCTAAGCGGACGGCGCCCAGCTAAGCGGACGGCGCCCAGCTAAGCGGACGGCGCCCAGCTAAGCGGACGGCGCCCAGCTAAGCGGACGGCGCCCAGCTAAGCGGACGGCGCCCAGCTAAGCGGACGGCGCCCAGCTAAGCGGACGGCGCCCAGCTAAGCGGACGGCGCCCAGCTAAGCGGACGGCGCCCAGCTAAGCGGACGGCGCCCAGCTAAGCGGACGGCGCCCAGCTAAGCGGACGGCGCCCAGCTAAGCGGACGGCGCCCAGCTAAGCGGACGGCGCCCAGCTAAGCGGACGGCGCCCAGCTAAGCGGACGGCGCCCAGCTAAGCGAACGGCGCCCAGCTAAGCGAACGGCGCCCAGCTAAGCGAACGGCGCCCAGCTAAGCGAACGGCGCCCAGCTAAGCGAACGGCGCCCAGCTAAGCGAACGGCGCCCAGCTAAGCGAACGGCGCCCAGCTAAGCGAACGGCGCCCAACTAAGCGAACGGCGCCCAGCTAAGCGAACGGCGCCCAACTAAGCGAACGGCGCCCAACTAAGCGAACGGCGCCCAACTAAGCGAACGGCGCCCAACTAAGCGAACGGCGCCCAACTAAGCGAACGGCGCCCAACTAAGCGAACGGCGCCCAGCTAAGCGGACGGCGCCCAGCTAAGCGGACGGCGCCCAGCTAAGCGGACGGCGCCCAGCTAAGCGGACGGCGCCCAGCTAAGCGGACGGCGCCCAGCTAAGCGGACGGCGCCCAGCTAAGCGGACGGCGCCCAGCTAAGCGGACGGCGCCCAGCTAAGCGGACGGCGCCCAGCTAAGCGGACGGCGCCCAGCTAAGCGGACGGCGCCCAGCTAAGCGGACGGCGCCCAGCTAAGCGGACGGCGCCCAGCTAAGCGGACGGCGCCCAGCTAAGCGGACGGCGCCCAGCTAAGCGGACGGCGCCCAGCTAAGCGGACGGCGCCCAGCTAAGCGGACGGCGCCCAGCTAAGCGGACGGCGCCCAGCTAAGCGGACGGCGCCCAGCTAAGCGGACGGCGCCCAGCTAAGCGGACGGCGCCCGGTCGCGCATTCGAATCCTGGTGCTGAGAATTTTTGGATTCCTAGCTCAACTCCATAAAAGGCGTCAACTTTAAAGCAAAACTCAAACAATACAAAAGCTATCTTTTCCAAATCCTTTCTTTATCTTTTGATTTCAGCTGAAACTTCACTCCGACCGTGACCACCATTCAAATGCCGCCCCTCATTCTCCACTACTCAACTCGAAACTAGAAGGGTATACAGAAGAAGAGCTAGCCGAGTATCGACAAGTCTTCAATATGTTTGATACAGGTGGATTAAAGTCTGTGTTAGATATGGGTTTTTGTAGAAAATGAGTCACTTCCACGTTTTAGCAAAAAAAGTGCTTCTTTTCGCGTCGATTCAATGCTATTTCGAGCTTTAGAAAACAACTTTTGGAAGCTTTTTGTTAAGACGTGAGATTGACTCGTTTTCTACAAAATTTATAGTCAGGATTGTAGCATAGATTAGCTTTGAATTCTTTTGAAAATTCACTCATTTAAATTGATTGTTCTGCAAGTTAGTTGCAGCTGGTACACCAAGAAATTTTAAAGCTTTGCTGAAAATGAAATCAAGTACGGGTAGCTAAAAGTATGATAGGAAGTACTTGGGTTACCGTAAGGTCTACTAGGATTACGGTAGCCGAGCCTAGCTTTAAAGCACTAATCTTATGAAAGAGTCTGTCTTGGATTCGGGTTACTGCAGTCAATGTCTTGGATTCGGGTTACTGTAGTCAATGGCTTGGATTCGGGTTACTGTAGGCAATCTCTTGGATCCGGGTTACTGTAAGTAATCTCTTGGATTCGGGTTACTGTAGTCAATGGCTTGGATTCGGGTTACTGTAGGCAATCTCTTGGATCCGGGTTACTGTAGGCAATCTCTTGGATCCGGGTTACTGTAAGTAATCTCTTGGATTCGGGTTACTGTAGTCAATGGCTTGGATTCGGGTTACTGTAGGCAATCTCTTGGATTCGGGTTACTGTAGTCTTTAAAGCTAGCCGAATCACTCTAGCTATTCGGTTAGGATTACGGTAGTCGAATCAATATTCATCATCGACGTTGACAAAGTTTTAAGTTTCCAGATCGTTCCGGAGCGATCGGATTGGACGAGCTCGAGGCAGCGATGCGAAATCTTGGATTAGAGCAAACGAGAGAGGAATTGGATAGAATTATTGATGAGGTTTGATGAAAGAAAACTTCTAAACTCTTAGCTTTCTTCTTGACAAGTTTTTCTGTTCGCTTTTTGAGCTAGTAATTGCCAATTTCTCAAGCATTTCTAGGTTGATCAACGCGGAAATCACGAGATCGACTTTGATGAGTTCTGCGATGTGATGCGAAGACTTTATAATAGGTTTTTAAAGGAAAAAAAAAACCCAAATTTCAATGAAAATCTTCAGAAAAAACAACTGGAATAGTGTGGTGAAGGAGTGCTTTGCGGTTTTTGATCGGGTAATTTGCTTAGCAATTGCGAAATGAGGGAAATTAACGCTGAAATTCTAGTCTGAATCCGGAGTGATCTCAAAAAAAGATTTCCAATATATTCTCCGAGAACTCGGCGATATTACAGACAGTATTATTGTTGATGAGATCTTTATGGAGGTAAGGATTTGATGATAAACGGTTTTGACTCATATTTCACAGCTTTAACATCCAAATTTGAAGAAAAAGTGTAAACGCATCCTTTCTGGCAAACTTGGCTTTGTTTTGAGCTGTTTTGAGCCGCTTTGAGCTGTTGTGCGTTCTCTCTGCCACTAAAGAAGTGGCATCTGGCACAGTTCAATGCGCCAGAAGGGGTGCGTTTCAGTTTGCGCACAAAGCACGCCTTTAAGGCTCTATTTTATGCGTTCTTTGGATGTATTTCAAGAAAAAAGCGGTATCTGGCACAGTTCAGTGCGTCAGTAGGATTGCGTTTCACTTTGCACCCAAAGTACACCTCTCTATTATTGATCTCTCTTATGGGTTCTTTGGTTGTTTTTCAAGAAAAAAAGCGGTATCTGGCAAAGTTCTATGCGCCAGAGGGGGTGCGTTTCAGTTTGCGCACAAAGTACATCTTTATCGATCTCTCTGATGCGTTCTTTGGCCGTTTTTCAAGAAAAAAGCGGTATCTGGCAAAGTTCTATGCGCCAGAAGGGTTGCGTTTCACTTTGCGCACAAAGTACACCTTCCTTACTGATCTCCTTTATGCGTTCTTTGAATGTTTTTCTCAAAAAAGGCACCATCTAGCACAGGGTTTTGTGTCCGAGATGGTGCTTTTCTTGGTGACTACAAAGAACAAAGCTAGACTTCGCGTGATCGACCGTAATCTAAAGGAATCTACCGAAATCTACCGTAATCTACCATAATCTACCGTAATCTAGTTACTGTAGATATTTATGGCCCTTTAAACCTTTAAATCCTTTCGTTTTAGGCTGACGTTGATGGAAATGGTCTACTCGATTCCGATGAATTCACATATATGTGCAAAAATTATATGACAGATGAGGATATTAACTGATTTTTCGGATTTTATACACTACTGGACAACGAAATATCATATTTGAAAAACGAACGTCACTTTCGCGCGTCTGTAACCCCCTTGTCTTCACCGTATTTCTAAATATTAATATTACCATTGTGTAGCCGTTGAAAAGAGCTTTCAGAAAATGTATAACACTAATAGTTTAAACTCAAAGACAAACTCAAAGACAAGGAGAGTTGCAGACGCGCGAAAGTTTTTCGACGATCGTTTTTCAAATATCATATTTCATTGTCCAGTACTGTACATTCAATAAAGAATCATTGAATTTCACTTTTTAAACACCTAAAACTACACAAAAATCAAAATATTTGATGGAATTTGATGGAATTTTGAGTACTACCGGCTTAAGTAAGTTTTGATTCGTTTAAGAATCAAAATTTTTTTTTCTTCTCGATTCTAATTCTAATTTCAAGAGATTTACGAAAATTTCAATGATTTTTAAATAGATTATACCGTATTCTCTCTAATAGTATTGCACTCTCTAATAGTATTGCACTCTCTAATAGTATTGCGGTCCGAGAGGGGGTTGAAAAAATAGTAGTGCAGCCTTGAAAAGTTGGATTTATAGCGCTTCTTTTTCATCTAAACCTTTTTGACTGAATATCTTTATGTTTATGTGACATTCTAAAGCTATTCAAGCAAGCAAAAGTGAGGCTTTTTTTATTCATTTGTTAACTATTCTTCACCTGAAAAGGTTAACAAAAAAACTGAAATTGTTGTGTAAAGTGCCTAAGCATCTTTTTTGTTCCCACACGTTGTTTTAGTGGCACATTAACTCAAATTTGCTTACGAAGTTCGCGCAAAGCTATAGTTATTTTTTGCTCTTATATACCTGTATAAAGTTTGAGATTGACTTACCTTTTGCGGCGCTTAACTTTATTGTTATCAAAGCTCAATCCTAGAAAATAATCCATCATGTTCGATTTTAATATTATATAATTTTTGTTGATCACCTTTACTATTGTCTAAATAATCTTTTTCTTTAGGTATGGATCTCGATGGGAATTCGCTTGATGGATTCGAAAACTTTCGAGCTCGTCGTGAACACGAGGAACATGTGGAAAGCTTCAAGAGGATCGACAATCAAGTGACCGAGCAAAATGCTGGCTACAACATGACCAAGGATGTTGCCGAGGAGTCTTCGTGTGAAGCGGATGCACCATCGGCGAGAAAGCGATGTTTCGACATTCAAACAAAGCTGAAAGCGATTGCTCTTGCGGAAAAAATAAAGGATAAGTCGGCTGCAGCGCGAAAATTTGGAGTCAGTCGTCAAAACATCCAAACATGGTGTCGCCAAAAGGAAGAACTCGAAAAACAAAACAGAGATAACGGAAAAGGAAAAAAAACGAATCAAAGGCGGTGGACGAAAGCTCAAGGATATCGATTTTGACAAGGATCTCGTTGCTTGGATTCAAGAAATGCGGGCAAAGAAGATGCGAGTGACACGAAAAATGATTCAATGCCAAGCCAAGTTAATGTGGAAAGATGACGAGGAATTTTCGGCATCGGAGGGATGGCTAAACTTATTCATGTCAAGACACAAATTGTCAACTCGCCGGCCCACAACTGTATGTCAAAAGGAGCCAAATGAGTATGTGAAAGCAATAATTGATTACATCCTCTATATGGAGAAGCTACGCAAAAAGAACAATTACGCATCAATTTTTGCCTGTGATGAGACCGGCATTTTCCTGGATCAGTCGAATAGTTTGACTATTGCCGACAAAGGATCCAAAGAGGTGGCGATTCTTTCAACAGGTCACGATAAGATGCGAATCACCGTGATGTTGACGGCTCGTGATGATGGCTTTAAGTGTAGGCCCTTTGTGTTGCTGAATCGTGTTAGACCGGATCCCAAAGTAATTACAAAATTCCACAACAAGCTAGAGCTACACTGGGGTGGGTCTACATGGATGAATGATACTTCAATTGAGTCCTACCTTCGAAGGGTTCTTGGTGCTCCATTATTCGGAAAACGATTAATCGTCTGGGACAACTTTTCCGCCCATAAAAGCGAAGCAACCAAAAAAACTTTAAAAGATTTGCAAATTGATTCGATTCTTGTGCCCGGAGGATGCACCAAGTACATACAAGCTCCCGATGTCATGTGGAATGCACCATTTAAGGCTAGGATTCGAGCACAATACGAGGGATGGATGATGAATGGACCAAAACCTTTGACCCGGAATGGAAACCCGACTCCTCCACCGATGGAAACTTATCTTGAATGGGTTTGGAATGCTTGGAACGAGCTCCCAAAAAACCTCATCATAAGCTCGTTCAAGGGTTGTGCAATTACCACAGCTACTGATGGCTCTGAAGATCGTATCATTCATTGCTTCAAAAAAGAAGGACCGATTCCTGAAGGCGCAACACTTCTCGCCAATGCTCGTCTCGAACAATCGATCAACGGAGTAAAGGATCAACTCAAAAATATTGAACTGGATGAGGATGATGATTCAAATGATGATTCTGTTGTAGATCTTTTTGTCTAGTTAACTTTTTGTTATCAGAAGTCAATAAATTTTTAGAAAGTCGCTTTTTTTGAAAGAATTTTTGGAACAAATCTTATATCTGTCTTACTTTGGTAATTGATAAAACTCTTTAATAGTATTGCACTCTCTAATAGTATTGCGGTCCAGGAGGGGGTTGAAAAAATAGTAGTGCGCAATACTATTAGAGAGAATACGGTAGTCGATTTTAAAGTCAAACACTTCAAAGAATCGAAAAAAATCGAGTGATTCGTTTAAGAATCAAATTTCTTCTCGATTTCAAGAGATTTACTTCTTTTGAAAGTAAATCTCTTGATTTCAATGATTTTTCGAAATTTCAATGATTTTTAAATAGATTATAGTCGATTTTAAAGTCAAACACTTCAAAGAATCGAAAAAAAATCGAGTGAAAGGACAAGATCGGAAGCGGAATTCTCACATCGGATTGAAGCAAAAGAAAGGAAAGAAAACGAACACACAAAACATGAAAAGAGATCCGACAAAGAAAAAGAGACATCTCCGTGTCTTTTTCTTCTTTTTCTTCTTGTTCACCATTTTCTTTTTCTTTCTAGATCATAGATTTCTGGATTCAATCGATAGATCCTTTTTTTTCTGGAATTTCTTTGGCCTTTTCTTGTACTTTTCCTGTTCTTGTTCTTTAAATCTACTCAAAAAATGTAAACTCTATCTTCCTGGCGCACTAAATCCTTGGATATCAAGAAAAATGGATAATTCAGTGCGCTAGGTAGCCGTTTTTGAGTTGCTTAGCTTTCTTTTCTTTAATCAAAACTAGAAATGAGTTCTTTTAAGAATGATAAAATATTCCCAGCTTAAGGACAAGTTTTTCAATTGTTTCTAAAGATAATGATGAATGATTTATGCTTTAAAAGTCATTTTTTTATGATCTTTCTCTATATTCTTCTGCCATTAAGGAAAAAGAATGATTTTTGGATCTTCTGGAGATTGATATTGAAGATTGATCATTGAAGATTGAAGATTGATCATTGATGGGCGGGGGACAAATGCGACCTTTTTTTTTGCGCACCCGGACATTTGCGCACCTTTTTTTCCGCACCTTGTCCATTAGCGCACCTTTTTGTCGCGTTTTAAAAAAGCTAATATTAACCTAAAGCTCTAAAAAGCTAATATTAATCAATTTCTATTCCAAAAGTTGTTTTTCTAGGTAATTTTAGGGCGTAGAATCGAAATTTTGACATAACAGAGCGTGTGGAACCAATTTGAAAGACGCTAGATCAAAACAAAACGGCTAGAACAAATTACAGAAAATTGTCGATTTTTCTCTTTGTATAACTCCGTCCGTTTGTTTCCACAAGCTCTGATATGTCAAAATTTCGATTCTACGCCCTAAAATTACCTAGAAAAACAACTTTTGGAATAGAAATTGGTTAATATTAGCTTTTTTTAAAATGCGAAAAAAGGTGCGTTAATGGGCAAGGTGCGGAAAAAAAGGTGCGCAAATATCCGGGTGCGCAAAAAAAAGATCGCATTTGTCCCGCTCCCTCATTGATCATCTTTCATCTTCAACTGTCAGCCAAGGAGTCAACGATAATGAGATTTAGTGATCTGTTGAATTCTAGTAGAGTCTTGGCTTGGTTTGGCTTGGCTTTTCTTTAGAATATTTGATCAATCTTCGATTTCTTGTCAATTTAAACTAAAAAAACGAATCCTTGAAAAGTGAATCGAAAGCAATCTTGCTTTTCTGTTCAATTTGTTCAATGCTTTTCCATTTCTCGAACTCAACTTTCCTCTAAACAATAAAATGGGTTCAAGAGCTGATCTCGACGTCATTCTTATCTGAATGACTGGACGGCAAAGGACCGTTGCTTATTGTTTACCCGGCGTTTGTTTGTGTGTTTGTTTGGGGATCGAATTTAGACCGGATTTCTCTACTTCATCCCCCTTTTTTTTCCTTGATCTCTTTTCCACAATTCTCTTCACAAACCTGATCTCATCAAATCTTTTGTGCTGATTTTTGGCTTGGCTTTTTGGCTTGTTTCTAGTTTTCCTGTAAATTAGTATTCATTTACCTATTAAATTGTCGAATTCAAAATAAACTAAATTCAAAATGAGTTTAACAAAATTTAGCAAAACTTAGCAAACGATTTTAGAACGATTTTAAACGATGAGGCTGATATTCCTTTTGGCAACAGTAACTGTAAGTTAATAGTAAGATACAACAGTAGCCGTAAGTTAACAGTAACATACAACAGTAACTGTAAGTTAACAGTAACATACAACAGTAACTGTAAGTTAACAGTAACATACAACAGTAACTGTAAGTTAATAGTAAGATACAACAGTAGCCGTAAGTTAACAGTAACATACAACAGTAACTGTAAGTTAACAGTAACACACAACAGTAACTGTAAGTTAATAGTAAGATACAACAGTAGCCGTAAGTTAACAGTAACATACAACAGTAGCCGTAAGTTAACAGTAACATACAACAGTAACTGTAAGTTAACAGTAACACACAACAGTAACTGTAAGTTAACAGTAGCATACAACAGTAACTGTAAGTTAACAGTAACATACAACAGTAACTGTAAGTTAATAGTAAGATACAACAGTAGCCGTAAGTTAACAGTAACGTACAACAGTAACGTACAACAGTAACGTACAACAATAACCCTAAGTTAACAATAAATTCATCTAAGGATTTCAATTCATCAATTATTTAACACGATTTAGACAGTGCTGAGCTCTTCACCTCGTCACGATCTTCTCTCTAAATCAATGCGAGCGAAAATGTGCGAGTTGAATCCAAGTCTTACATTTTGTCGAAAGGTGAGAATGATTTTAAAGAAAGTATACTAGTATATAGAGTATAAAGAGTACTTCAAATACCGTAAATATTGTAATAGCACCCCACCCTCCTCGTACAGTCGCGTAGTCGCAAAAGCTTTTTGGTATTTCATTTTTTTCAAAGCGCCCGTACTTTCAAAAATGCGTCTTTGGTATCAAAAAATAGCTGAAATTCAGGGCTATTTTTTGATATCTAAACGAGCATTGTAGCATTGTCGAGAAACACTCGTTCAAAGCTAGCCTACGCAACGCTCCGCAATGTTCTTGTATTGCTTGTTTTCTTCGTAAATTTTCTTCACCATGAAATCCCGGACGTTTTCTATGGAGTTGACATCAAGGCTACATGCTAGCGAACAGCAAAATTCTTCTCCTTTCCAACCACGCTCGTCTACGACGATCTCTGTGAATCGGAGAGCTCCATCGTGCCGATTTTAACGCTGGGAAGGTAAAATTCCTCGACTCAAGACCACCCGGCAGTCTGATCCATTCATTTTCTTTGAAACGAAGCACAACTTGACTCTTCCCGTTGATGCACTGATCTCGACTTCCTGACTTCCTGACTTCCTGACTTCACTCTTCCTCTTGGCCATAATCCCTTCTCCTTTAAAGTTGCGACGAGAATAGTGGAGTTTTTGCTTACGATCATGCCAATATGATTGGAAACCATCCCGACCATTGAATTGAATCTCTTCAGAAAGCACAACATAAAAAGAAATCTTAGATGTAAGCAAAAGTCTTACCATTTTCCAATCGATTTTGAAATCAATGATTTTACTTGACAAAATCAACACGAGCAGCGCAGCGGGACGTTCCAGTTTTCTAATGAATCTAATCAATCTAATCAATCTAATGAATCTAATGAATCTAATGAATCTAATGAATCTAATGAATCTAATGAATCTAATGAATCTAATGAATCTAATCAATCTAATCAATCTAATCAATCTAACGAATCTAATCAATCTAATCAATCTAATCAATCTAATCAATCTAATAAATAAATCTAATGAATGAATTCCAATAAATCGCTTTTTCGCATAACAAGTTGAGTAAACAGTAAAAGTCAGCGTTTCATAGCTTTCCCAACTCAGTAAGTCAATGCTTCCCCAATGATTTTTTTTCGATAAAGCCGATTTTAAAACCGATAAACAGCCTTTAGAGAGTCAAAACTCGAAAATCTTGAACACTCTGCATATTACTTGCTTCATAGAATGTCTCTTATCAATTCCAAATGTCTCTTATCATTTGAAAATGACAATCCTTCAGCCTCCACCTCTCCCAATTCTTCGCGATTCTCTTTCCTATTCTCGATGGTCGATTTGTGATCGAAATTCTTTTCTTCGCCTTTGCCGATATCGACCCGGAACTTTTGATGAAGTCGCTGACGCTCAAAGGATACAGGTTTTCAAATTGAATATTATTAAAATATAATTCAATTACAAAAAAAATCTCTTAGAGAAGATTCAAATGTCTTTTAAGACTAGATAATCAAAAGGAAGAGGTAAAAATAGAGTATAGAATAGAAATCGAATAGAAATAGAATAGAAATCGAATAAAAATAGAGGTAAATAGACTGAAATTAAAATACCTCTTAAAAATGATCTACTATATATAAAGGAAATAAGACATCTGTCTGTCTGTCTGTCTGTCTGTCTGTCTGTCTGTCTGTCTGTCTGTCTGTCTGTCTGTCTGTCTGTCTGTCTGTCTGTCTGTCTGTCTGTCTGTCTGTCTGTCTGTCTGTCTGTCTGTCTGTCTACTCCTCCGCGCCACGGTCGGCCATTTCAAATGATTTTTAGTTAGTTTGACTTAGGTTTCCATGTAGTTGCGTAATTGTTTTTAAATTTTCAAAAAAACCAAAACTGCCGGCGCGGGGGGGACTCGAACCCGGGTCGTGTGGGCTAGAGACCAGTGCGATCACACTGCGCCATCTACAGAGGATGGCGGGTCGTCTGGGCTAGAGTGAAGTATGCTCGCATTGCATTATCCTGTGAACTGAGAACTGAGAACGCACTGAGAACATGGCCGAGTGGTTAACGCGCGCGTCTTTCAAACGAACAGAAGACTGAAGTTTTACAAGATAAGAATCCAAATAATCCACAATATTTGGATGTTTATTCTCTCGCATCACTAGAATCTCGTTGATAATCAATTCCTTTTTCACCTGAAAACATTTGAACAATTGAAAAACATCAAATAACTAAGAAATTTACATTTAAATCCCCGGTTCAATTACCCAATTATCTATTTTGATTCTAAATCGAAAAACAACAAGTTTAAATCCGAGCATGACTTCCAGATCGAACAAATTCCATGTAAAAATTCAAAAATATAACGAACAGAAGGCAGGTTCGCCTCCTCCCGGCGCCGATTTTTTCGCTTTTTTGCAGCAAAGCTTCTAAAAAAGAAATCAAATCAAATAGAGAACGTAAACAGCTAAAATCCCTCAATATTCATTTATTATTACAATTTGCAGCATGAACAAGACAAGAAAAAAGTTCAAATCATCAGAGATCCGGTTTCGAGCGAAAATCAGTGAGTTTTTTAAGTTTTTAAGTGAAATCTTGCATTTTTAAATGCAAATCTAGCAATAAAGCCTTTTTTAAGCTGAAATTTGAAATGAATCTTACAGAAACGTTTACAGAAACGAAATGTTAAACGAGAATTTCCTCGAAACAACCTCACCGCCTTTCTTGGATCAATCGAACAAGTTTCTCGTGAACAATTTTTAGCAAAAAGCATTTCTATATTCTCTATATTCCAAAAGTATCATTTCTATATTCTCTATATTCTAAAAGTATCATTTCTATATTCTCCATGTTCTTCATGCACTTTTTGCTGTATAAAAGCACCCTTTCTGGTCCACTGAAATCCTTCATGTTTTCAAGGAAACCAGTGCACCAGCAAGCGCGCTTACATGAGCACAAAGTGCAGCTAAAGAGCTAAAAGCAGCTCCTCATTGTGCTTCAATTCTTTTGCATTTTGCTTCACGGGTATATCTCGCTACTCTTTTTTGTTTTATAAAATTTATTCTTTAAATCGACCAGAATTTTGTGGGAAAAAAATGAAATTTGACGAATTTGGCTGAAGAATTCAGTCTTAAAGTGATTATATAAAAATTTACATAACTAGAGTAATTTAAGGCGTTAGTGAAGTCGATTTACTGGAGCTGGATCCGGGCAATAGTCCGGACGATCGAGGCAGTACTTGAGGGTGCTTCTGAAAAAGATAAAATAGAAAAAACAGTTTGAAGTACAGTAATTCCAATTCTACAGACGACTACTGTACTCTAAAGTAGACAGAGACTACAGATAACTACTGTACCCTAAAGTAGACAGAGACTACGGGCAACTACTGTACTCTAAAGTAGACAGAGACTACAGATAGCTACTGTACTCTAAAGTAGACAGAGACTACGGACAACTACTGTACTCTAAAGTAGACAGAGACTACAGATAACTACTGTACCCTAAAGTAGACAGAGACTACGGACAACTACTGTACTCTAAAGTAGACAGAGACTACAGATAGCTACTGTACTCTAAAGTAGACAGAGACTACGGGCAACTACTGTACTCCAAAGTAGACAGAGACTACAGATAGCTACTGTACTCTAAAGTAGACAGAGACTACGGACAACTACTGTACTCTAAAGTAGACAGAGACTACAGATAACTACTGTACTCTAAAGTGGACGTAATACTGAATATCTTCTGTTTAAAAGCTTTTCAGTCTTTGCCTGGATACTATAGATATGGGCCAGTTCCTTTGCGTTTTCTAAAAAGCACTTAAAACTACCGTAACCCATTGGCAGTTTGATTTGATTTTGGTCAAATTTGATGCAGGGAACACAAGACTCAGTGAATGAGACAAACATTGGGCCGATCAAATGGAAACTGGCTAGTTGGTGAGCTACAGAATAGCTACAGAAGCTACAGTATCCATAGCTATAGAATCCGTAGCTATAGAATCCGTAGCTATAGAATCCTACAGTATCCATGACTACAGAAGCTACAGTATCCCTAGCTACAGTCTCTACAAGTCACGCCTTCTCTTTCAAATCGTAGTCACACTTTGGAGCTGTTACTATTGAGCACTTTGGAGCTGTTACTATTACTATTGACTGCTGGACTCTTGGCTAAACTGGAACTAGACCCAACAATTGGTATTTACATGATACTTGCTGAATTTGTCTATCTGTGCCTTTTCCACAAAACCCACTGAATTGGATAGGGATTCGAGGCGGCTTGCCAGCTTGTTTCCTCGTCGAATTGCCAGAAACCCTGTCGAACCTGTAAAATGGAGAAATCTATGAGTAAAGTAAGAGACTAATCTTGAAGATTTCAAACAATTTCCTCACTTCAGGCATTGGTGGTTTATAGGCGTCGCCCAAATCTCTTTCATCGTCCTCCTCCGGATCGGCGTCACTCGAATAAGTCGTCGTTGTTGTAGTCACCGTTTTTCTGGGAATAAAAATCGATTTTTAAAGCTGAGCTTGATCGATCAGTCTGTTTTAAAGCTTTGATTAGTTTTGTAAGTTAGTTACCGTATTTCTTCGAATAGAAGACCGGGTAAAGAGAGTATCATCGCGTACTCGTGCGTAGCAGCCCTTTTTTAAAATTTCTTTTCTGCATAAAAGCTTTCAATGAAGTGCTATAGGGCTGGGAAATGGCTCAAAGATCTGTTAGCTCATGTGGTATTTTTGAGTCATTTCCCAGCCCTATAGCACTTCATTGAAAGCTTTTATGCAGAAAAGAAATTTTGAAAAGGGCTGCTACGCAGGAGTACGCGATCATACTCTTTACCCGGTCTTCTATTCGAAGAAATACGGTAGTTAGTTAGCTAGTTAGTTACTTAGCTAGTTAGTTAGCTAGTTAGCTAGTTACTTAGGTAGCTAGTTAGTTAGCTAGCTAGTTAGTTAGTTAGTTAGCTTTCTTCTTGTCTAAGTTAGCTAACTTGTGTAAGTTGTCTAAGTTGTCAAGTTAGCTAACTTGGCTCAGAATAACATCAAACGAGCTAGCTTCAGTGTCTAGCTTCAGCGTGGAAATATTAGAGTTGTTGTTTTTGAGTTGCTTTTGAGCACAACTCGAAAATTCACTCAATTCAATTTCCTCACCTCATAGGCATTTGCCCTTGATCGTTTAAAAGATGAGCTGCCCAACCGCAATGTAACAACAATATGCCGACGATTAACAAGAGAAGACCCAACGGGAATAGAACACCGCCACTAGAGAAGGAAATTGAGATTGTTTAAACCTGCTCACTCGTCAAGTGAGTCGACTTCAAGTGAAAAAGTTGTTGAAAAATTGAATTGAAAGTCAAATTCTATCACTCACAGTCCTCCACATTCGACCGCAATACAAATCAATAAAGCGGCGAAGACCATCATTGCGCCGATGAAGAAACAAATGAGACCAGCGGCAAGAACGGCGCGTCTAGATTTGGTTTTGATTTGATGAGAGAAATGGTAATTGATGAGCAGATTGATTATCATCATCTTCTAGATGTTCTGGCTTTGTTTAAAAAGCAAATGAAATGCATCAAGACTTTAATGCTTGGCGCTGTACTTGGCTCTGTACTTGGTTCTGTATTTGGCTCTGTACTTGGCTCTGTATTTGGCTCACTTGGCTCACTTGGCTCTGTACTTGGCCCTGTACTTGGCTCTGTACTTGGCTCTGTACTCGGCTCACTTGGCTCTGTACTTGTTTAAACAAAGCTGACTCCTAGGGCTTTATTCATCTCGTCTTTATCATCAAGTTCTTACCTAGCTTTCCAGATTCCCATATAGGCAGGAAGGCAAGGAAAACAAAAAGCTGGTGGCGAGTGTCTTCTGTACCAAGGAACCCATTGAGATTCAGTCACTATCCGACCCATTCTTGATTTGAAAATTAAACTATTTATGTAAAGCGAATACCGTATTCTCTCTAATACTAGTGCACTCTAAGCCTTGTCTAAATTGGTCGAAATCTCGTAAACCGCTTATCAGAACCTATCGATGTGGGATCGGAAAATGTAGCTGACGATGAGATCTAGTGGGGGATTTGAGTGTTGAGCTTCTGGGAAAGCTTTGGAACGATAAAATAGTCACCAACTCGGCTCGGTTGGGTGCATTAGAGAGAATACGGTAGTTGAATTGTCAAGAAAACTTTAATATCAAAGAACAGAGAAAAGTAGACAACAACGACAAATTTAATAGGTGAATGGTAGAGTATTATTGCTTGGCTTTAAGAGTAAGCAAAGTTTATCAAAGTCAGCAAAGTTTATCAAGGTCAGCAAAGCTTATCAAGGTCAGCAAACTTTATCAAAGTCAGACTAAGATCCAAACGAATAGCATACAGAAAACAAGCATAATTTTAACGTTTAACAAAAAAGTTAAGTCAAGAAAGTTCTTGAAGAGCTAATTTTAATCTAATTTTAATCTAATTTTAATCTAGAAGCTTATTTTTCCATTCCAGTCTAATCCTGTCCTCTATTTCACGTCAAATCTTTTTTTTTTACGCAAAATAACTCTCTTCTAAGTAAGTTTTTAAGTCTAAGAGTCTTTAAAAACATAAAGATTAGATAAAGTAGACATACTACTGAATATCTTCTGTTTAAAAGCTTTTCAGTCTTTGTCTGGATACGATCTTTATGTTTTTGGTGTCATTTTGTTGCACTTATTGAGATCTACAAAATGAGACCAAAATCATAAAGATTAACGAAATTAGAAGAAAGTTATGGCGAGTTGCGCAAAAGATCCAGTTGCAGAAAAATTTAGCGCAAAGTAGTCACGCTTCTTTTAGAATTAGAATTTCTTTTCGCTAAACGAACGGGAATTTTTCTCAGGCTCAGGCTCAGGCTCAGGCTCAGGCTCAGGCCCAGGCTCAGGCTCAGGCTCAGGCTCAGGCTCAGGCTCAGGCTCAGGCTCAGGCTCAGGCTCAGGCTCAGGCTCAGGCTCAGGCTCAGGCTTTGTCTAAACTTGTCACTAAACCCTGTCTAAACTTTACTCGCGAGAAACACACTCGAATAGTATACAAAATACAAATGCCGAAATGATATCTGGACTATTTCAAAGTGAATCAGATATGTCTAGATTAGAGCTTAAGAACAAAACGGATTCGATAAAAGTAAACAGAACAATACTATGATAGCTAAAGTTATCATATTGCTTTGCTTTAAGTGCTTTAAGCAGTTTGCTTTGCTTTAAGCTTTAAGCATTGCAGTATTGCTTTAACCCATTCGAAACCGCAGCGTTTTTTCTTTTTTTTCGTCTACGGACCAAGCCCTTTTTTGACATTTTTGACTCCGAAGCAGTTTATTTATGGTTGGAAAGATGTAAGAGAGTCTCCTACACCATTTATTTTTGATGAAGAACGATTTGGATTTGACTTCAGTACTTTTCAAGATCCTATCGATTATTGTTCTTATTTTATCGACGACAAATTAATCAATATGTTAGTAGGCGAATCTAATAAACATGGAAAAAGGAAAACAAACTGGCAGGATTTCGATGTAAAATCTTTGAAGCTCTTCCTGGCTCTGTATCTTCAAATGGGAATCGTCAAATTACCGAGGATTCGTGACTACTGGAGTAGCAGGCCTGGATTAGGAGGATTTTCCCACATGTCCCACATTATGTCAAGAGCAAAATTTGAATCTATTCTTCGCAACCTGCGTTTTTGTGATAATGAACTGGATCCTGCAGGAGATCGGCTTTATAAGATTAGAGCTATTATGGAACATTTCAATGCAAAACCAGAGACTGCATTGATTCCGGGTAAATATGAAACATCTTTTTTGCCCACGTAATTTGTAGATCTGCTACAATTCGAATATACATGTAATGCTGAAAAACAGCAAAAAAAAAGCAATTAATTGAATGAAAATAGCTGAAAATAGCGAATAATCGCTGCAGCGGTCCGTTCCTGAGTTTTTGCTGCAGCGATTATTCGCTGCAGAAGTTTCGAATGGGTTAAGCAAGCTTTAAGTTATCGAGCAAATTATCAAATCAAAATAGCTCAAAATCAAAATAATCAAAAGAGGAGAAAGTCAATAATCTGAGATTTTGAGCGATCCGGGAGATCCGGGAGATTCTTTGTGTTGTTGAGGCTTTTTCAATCTTTTCCTTGGCCTCCCCCTTTCCCCAATGGATCTGTTGTGCTGTTGTGTAAAGTCTCTTTTCATCTTTTCAAATCCCTTTCCCTTATCCTAATCCAAGCTCACTCTTGGAATAATCTCTCTTTTCGTTTCTTTTTCATTCTCTAGAGATCATTCTCTTGCTTTCAATCGATAGATATCGATAGATTCAATCGATAGAACAAATAAATGTAAATTCAAAGTTATTAAACAAGATTTGAGAAAGATTTGAGATTAAAATTTGAGATTTTAAATGAATAAAAGTTAATTTAAATGTTTACAAATGAAGTACTAAGCAGGGAAAACGAATAAAAACGAATAAAAACGAATAAAAACGAATAAAAACGAATAAAAACGAATAAAAACGAATAAAAACGAATAAAAACGAATAAAAACGAATAAAAACAACCAACGATCAAACATAACGAATAATAATAATCAAATAATAAAACAAATTAATTATTTTGCTTAATTTAAAGCTTAAATAAGACGAGAAGGGAGTTATGATTGACTGAATTTCAATTCAATTTCAATTCAATTTCAAAAAATGAACTGTTAAACAAAAGGAAAGCCAAAAATATAAACTATTAAGCCAAAAAGTCGGCTAAAAATGAACTTATTAAGCAAAAGTGAAGCTTTTAAGGTCTCTTTTTTGTTTTTAAGGTTTCTTTTTTTCTTGTTGAAAGCTTTCCTTTTGACGCCCACCGTCAAACCGTGTAAATTTTCGCAAAAACAACTTTTCAAGCAAAAAAAGTGGGTAGAATGAGTTTTTATAAGGAAAATTGATTCAAATGAAGGACAAAACTTGATCCAGCGAATCCCAAAGGTGAACTAAAGAGCTAAAGAAGAGCTAAAGAAGAGCTAAAGAACTAAAGCTGAGCTAAAGAAGAGCTAAAGAGCTAAATCTGAGCTAAAGAGCTAAAGAAGAGCTAAAGCTGAGCTAAAGAAGAGCTAAGGCTGAGCTAAAACTGAGCTAAAGAAGAGCTAAAGAAGAGCTAAAGCTGAGCTAAAGAAGAGCTAAGGCTGAGCTAAAACTGAGCTAAAGAAGAGCTAAAGAAGAGCTAAAGCTGAGCTAAAGAAGAGCTAAAGCTGAGCTAAAGAAGAGCTAAGGCTGAGCTAAAACTGAGCTAAAGAAGAGCTAAAGAAGAGCTAAAGCTGAGCTAAAGAAGAGCTAAAGCTGAGCCAAAGAGCTAAAGAAGAGCTAAAGAGCTAAGGCGGAGCTAAAGCTGAGCTAATGAAGAGTTTTTCGTTTCAATTGCATGATTTCCCACTTGAGAATTGGCGATCAATTGGCAAGAGAAAAAGCAAAAGAATGTCTCCAATACCAAAATTTCTCCTCAAAAATGCCGCACAGCTGGCGTAAACCCGAAAAAAACACTTGTGTTTCCTGAAAAGTTGAGGAAAAAAAGAGAAAAGAACGGAAAAAAAGTGCCGAAATCCGCGTGGGAGTCACACAAAAAGAGGTTAAAGTGAGCGATAAAACACTTTAAAACTTAAATTTCCAATCAATTTACATGTAAATCGATTCAAAAATGTTTCTAGCTTCAGAAAAAAAACTCAAAAAGATCAAATTTAAAGCGATTTTGATGAAAAACGACTATTCCAAGTAAAGTTTTCTGTGCGTTCTTTGTTGTCATCACGAAAAAAGCGGCATCTGGTATACGCACATCTGTGCCAGATGCCGTTTTTAGCGGCACACCGAAAGAACGCACAGCCTAAGCCTAAGCCTAAGTAAAGTTTTCGCACAGCCTAAGCCTAAGTAAAGTTTTCCGTGCGTACTTTGTTGTCACCACGAAAAAAGCGGCATGTGGTACACGCACATCTGTGCTAGATGCCGTTTTTAGCGGCACACCGAAAGAACGCACAGCCTAAGCCTACAGCAAACTTCAATTTTGCCAATTTGGAACCTTAAACTCAACTTTCGCTAAACAAAATGATATTTTTCTGATAGCATTTTTCAAGGCACATCTTTTGACATAGATTTAAGGCAAATCCATCCAAATATGGCTGAGAAAAGGTCGAAAAACTGAAGACTGATTCGAGTCTGTTTACTAGGTGTTTTAGATCTAGTTTCCAGCTTAAAACAGACCAAAAATATCCTTTTTTAGTACGAATTTTCTGAAATTCTGAAATTACACTCAAATCTGGTTTACTGACGAATTTCAGTGTTTTTTGCACTTTTCTTTTCGAATTTTCGATCGAATTCCTTTCTCTTATCGTAAAAATAACAAATTCAAAACTTAATCCGCTTGGTTTCTGCGGAAAAAAAGGGAAATTGATTAGAATTCTCGGGTTTTTAGAGGAAAATGCAATGTCTTACTCGTGCTGTAAACCGGATCTCGAAGAAGCTGCTATCAGGATATGTGTAAGTGGGGAAATCTTTTTTAGTTTATGCAAACTGTAAACCTCAGATGTTTAGTTTGTCTACAGTAGTCAGGCAAAAGTATTAGTTAACTGCTTCATTTGAAGAGATTCCGTCTTGTTAGCTGAATTAGGTTTTATTTGGATTACTGTAGTGAAGGTTAGGCTTAGGTTAGGCTTAGCTTAAGCTTAGCTTAGGCTTGGCTTAGGCTTGGCTTAGGCTTGGCTTAGGCTTAGCTTAGGCTTGGCTTAGGCTTGGCTTAGGCTTGGCTTAGGCTTGGCTTAGCCTTGGGCTTAGCTTAGGCTTAGGCTAGGCTTAGCTTAGCTGAATAGCTTTGCAATAGCTTTGCTTCGTTTTTAAAGAGCTATTTTAAGCTTTATTGAACTTTCTTAACGGAATTTCCCTTTAAACCTTCAAATTTTTAGCCCGATCACACCTATCCACTAGTTTCAAGAAGGAAAAAGGTTGGTGAAAAGGGTATGGCTGATTTTTTTCCCTGTTTACTGTAGTTGTTTACGTATTCTTATAGCTCCTTGTAAATTCTAGGTGACTTCAAAGCTTATCTTTCCTTGGCATCAATCATTTAGTTCACAACTTACAACTATAACCCATTGTATTTCCTCTCGCATCTCTGGAAAGCAGATGCCGGGTAGCTCAATGGTTTAAGCATCTGCTCGAAAAGCAAAAAGTTCAAGGGTTCAATCCCCTCTCTAGAAATCTTTCTTTCCTATTCCTTACTTGCAACTTCACCTCATCATTTTCCCTTCAGCTAATCGTCTCGTGGATCTGCGTCCTCTATTTGCTGACCCCGTGCTACAATGCGGCTATGCACTTTAGCATGTGGCTCGATTTGGAGACTGATGAGTAAGGAAAAAGCTGCAGAAGTAGCAGCATTTATTTACAAATCAATAAACTACCTTAAAAGAACTACCTTAAAGCTACCCAAACTTGAAGTTTGACTTCGAAAGTCGGAATCGCTTTGAAGTTTAGCTCTGAACTTGAAGTTAGGGTAATTCCGTTGTTAGTATCAATAGTTTTACCACTCTTTAACTAAAGAAATTGAGCTCAGAAGAGCTCAGAAGAGCTCAGAAGATTTTCCTCTAATTTCAAATGATTCAGATCAGTTTCCGACGATGAATGGTGGTTTATCGGTTTCCTTGTGATGATTATTCTTGTCTCTTTCCTTGGTAGTTGCTTCTATACAGCTATCGGTTTATATGGGATTTCGAGGAAACGATACGATTGTGTTATGTGTTTCTTCATCTTTTCGGTGAGTTCTAGAATCGATTTTATTCAAGAATAGTTCAAGAATTTTATCGACTGTGTCAACTATTAGCATTTCTCAAGTTATAAGCTTAATTTTTTCGATTTTCGCCACTTTCGGTTCATTCGGTGGCCTTTTGGCGGGCTTTATTCAACGAGAAGTGCAATCCATTTACCTCTACAACGATATCATTCAATTTATCGGTGGTACCATTGTCATTTTGTTGATTTGGTTTCAGATTCGAATGATGAAGAAATGCATAAAGTGTTATTGAATTGATTGATTTGATTGATTTGATTGATTTGATTGATTGATTTGATTGATTTGATTGATTGGTTTGATTGATTGGTTTGATTGATTAGTTTGATTGATTGGTTTGATTGATTGATTAGTTTGATTGATTTGATTGATTTGATTGATTGATTTGATTGATTTGATTGATTGATTTGATTGATTTGATTGATTTGATTGATTGATTTGATTGATTTGATTGATTTGATTGATTGGTTTGATTGATTAGTTTGATTGATTTGATTGATTGATTGATTTGATCATTTTCACTTATCAATTAAAACTTGAACTATTTGTTATTCAAACATCAATTTAAACCCTTTCCAGATCAATTGTGTGCTTGTTTAACCGTTTTGCAAAAGAGAAATCAAAAGAATTTCTTTATCAAAAAATTTAGGCCACTTTTTTACGGTGCAGGTTTTACGGTTGCGTGAGCAGTTGGACGCCAAAGAACTAAAAGCTACCGTAATCTTGTCTATATTTTTCATCTAATTTCTCAACTTTTTATATCATTCGCTATCTTTTAGAACCCTTGAAGAGTTAGAGAAAAAGTAGAAAGATTTGAGAAAAAAATAGAGCCAGCTTACGACAGAAAGAGAAACTTCTAAAAGGTAGATAATTGTAGTTTGTAGAAAAGATTACGCTAATTTTCGTTTCCCTAAATTATCCACCTTTTAGAAAGGACGCGAAAAATTCTCACCGCATTCCCAGTGACGGTTCCCGAGGTGAATGTAAAGGTGAGTGTCGGGACGGTGCATGTCTTGAGAGCCCCATTCACCTTTGTGATACTACTTACAGAGGTGATCGTGCTAAATAAGTTGAACTTTAATAAAAAACTTCTTAAACTTCCTAAATTTGTGCTAAAGATAAGATGATTTGTATGGGAAAAGAAATGAGAAAAGGTAGATAACTTACTACATGAAGGAACCACATTTCATCACGAGTTTCCCGGTGGTGTCCATTGTCGAGAAAGGGTTCTTGTCATCGGTGGGCTGTAAATCATTTTATCATAAACTGTTATGAAATCTGGAAGCTGGTTTTCTTTTTGATTTATTGATTTCAAGCGGTTTAGTTACGCAAGAGTCGGTTGACACAACCAGATTGCGATTCGGACTGTCGGAAATGAACCGGATTGAAAGGCTTACCAGCGCCAAATACGTTGCTCCATCATTAACTTTCAGCGTCCATTCGCAAGCTAAATTTGACCCATAGGGCTGGGGCGATTCTTTGTCGGTGATGTTGAAACCGGGGGAAACGAGCCACGAGCCACTCGTGACATTCTGGCTTTGCGACGTGCCTACAGCTGTGCAAGTGCCTAAAACACTTATAGCAAGTTAAAACACTTATAGCAAGCAAGTCCAGGAGTCCAGCAAGTCCAGTCCAGCAAGTCCAGGCGACCACCTAGTCGCCGTAATCCTGGACTTGCTTGCTATTACATATTTTACCGTTGATATTACCTATTTTTGCTTACAATTTATATTGTTTTTATCTTTCTTTTAGTTTATTTTATTTATTTATCGATTTACGTACTATTTTTTCTCTAATTTTCTTTTTAAAGATGGCTAAGAAATCATTGTATCAAGATGCGATCATCGACTTACACAAGCGTGACATTCTGGCGATGGATATCTCTAAGCGATTGATGATATGCAGACAACTTGTTTACGCGATCAAACGCTTTCAAGAGTTAGGAAAAGATTCTAATCGTCGAGGACGTGGTTGTAAAGCGACCGTTGTCACCAAGGCTTGTTCAAGAAGGTTCGAGATCAGCTACTCAAGATCAGCTACTCAAGATCAGCTACTCAAGATCAGCTACTCAAGATCAGCTACTCAAGATCAGCTACTCAAGATCAGCTACTCAAGATCAGCTACTCAAGATCAGCTACTCAAGATCAGCTACTCAAGATCAGCTACTCAAGATCAGCTACTCAAGATCAGCTACTCAAGATCAGCTACTCAAGATCAGCTACTTGAGATCAGCTAAGCCACTCGTTCGCAGGCCAGGATGACAAAGAATATGGGAATTTCTCGAACTTTTATGGGCTGTATTGTCAAAAATCGTCTTGAAATGAAAGCTTACAAGTTTTCCAAAAGCCAATCCCTTAGGTTAGCCAGCAAAAGGAAACGCGAGGATCTTTCGAAGCAACTTTTGCTTCGCTTGGTATCGTTGATCGTTCAATGGTATCGTTGATCGATCAATGGTATCGTTGATCGGAAAATTCTCTTCACCGATGAAAAACTTTTCTATGTCGAACAGTTTAAACCATCAAAACAGTTTTCAAACCATCAAAGCAATCGGACTTATGCCAAGACTCAATCTAGCCAATCTGTGGCACGAGCAGGTTGTTTGATGGGCCAAATCATTGATGGCCCAAATCATTGATGGCCCAAATCATTGATGGCCCAAATCATTGATGGCCCAAATCATTGATGGCCCAAATCATTGATGGCCCAAATCATTGATGGCCCAAATCATTGATGGCCCAAATCATTGATGGCCCAAATCATTGATAGCCTGCGCTGCGCTGACGGAAAGACTCCTCTGTTTTTTTGTTCCACAAGAAATCAAAGTAAATGCGATCAATTATTTAAAAATGCTTAAGCAAGAAGTACATTCATGGACTAAAAAGTCTTTTTGAAACATGATTTGGTGCTTTCAAGAGGATGTATCAACAGGATGAATCACCCACACAAAGCTCGAATCGTTCAAGATTCGTGAAAGCAGAATTTCTCCGATATTATCGATTTTAATCAAGCCCTCAATTATTCTGTATGAAGCAAAAGTTTGCTTGAAATCCCAACAGTCGATTCTTTGAAGAAAGCTCTTTCGAAAGCTGAGAAGCTGAGAAGGTAGGACGAGAGCTGAACACGCCCTGCCTTCTCACAACGATGAACGCAGCCTAAGCCTAAGCCTAATCCAGAAAATGGGGGTTCAGCCTAAACCCAAATAGATTTAGTGCGAGGCGCTAGCCGCTAGCCTTCGCACTAAGTCCAAGCCTAAGCCCAAACCTTAGGCCCAAAGAGAGCCTAAGCCCAAACCTTAGGCCCAAAGAGAGCCTAAGCCCAAACCTTAGGCCCAAAGAGAGCCTAAGCCAAAGCTCGATCCCTGTGTTGCCGCCAAGGAAAATCTTTTTGAAAAAAAAAGTAACTTTTCAAGTTAAATTATTGTATTATTGTTGTAAAATGAATTTTTTTCTGCTTTAGTTTCATTTTAATGTAAAATGGTCTTTAAATCTTTAAGTTCTTTAATTTGCGTAATCCTGGACAACTCTGTATGTACAGTAACCCTTGCAATGACAGAAATTTCGTTTTTATCAACTCACTCGTAGCACACATGAGCCCATTAGCAAGGTTTCCGCGACATGGCTCACACGCGGCTTTCCCGCTGACACTCTGAAAGTTTTAGATCATCACTTTTAAATGATTCCCTAGTTGATAAGGTTTAAAATCTAAAGTAATAGCAACAACTGACAAGTGTTAGTGTTTGCTTTAGCTACTGTAGTTTTAGCTACTGTAGGCCTAGCTATTGCAATCTCAGCTACTGTAGGCCTAGCTATTGCAACCTCAGCTACTGTAGGCCTAGCTATTGCAACCTCAGCTACTGTAGGCTTGGCTATTGCAACCTAGCTACTGTAGTCTTAGCTATTGCAACCTCAGCTCCTGTAGGCTTAGTTACCGTAGCCAAAATCCTATCAATGATTCTTTATCAATGAGATTACTATAACTAAATAACTACAAATTACTTTTTATATAGATTTTTTTGTTTTTCTTGTTTTTCTTTTACGTTCAACATGAGTTTCAAATCGAAATTTTCAGATTTTGACGTTAGTATATTGACGTTATTATTGATTTTCTTTTCAGTTACAACATCAACCGAATTAGATGACGGTAGGGGTTTGATGTTCTTTAAAGAACCTAGCCGAGTCGAAATTACTTGGAAATTGTTCGAAAATTATTTGAGATCGTCTCCTGAAAACATACCACTTTTCTAGAACTACCAGAGCCAGCCAATCAAAATTCTAGTCAATCAAAATCCTACCTTACAATCTGCTTGACCATTGCACGGATCTTTTCCATTGCACGGATTTGGCGTTGTTGTTGTGGTGGTGGGTGTGGTTGAAGCTAAAGGGTTCATTCAGAACTTTACCAGAGATCCAAATATCGATAATACGAAAGCGATCGAAAGAAACTCACTCACTGTCGTCGTTGCGGCTGAAAATGAAAAGATTACAATAGTTTTCTCAAATTCTTCATCTATTAGAAAGCACACAAATACCGTACTGTATCAAATGATTGTTTATTTCTGTACAACAGTACTATATCTTTATTTCCGTACAACAGTACAATATCTTTATTTCCGTACAACAGTACTATATCTTTCCAGTACTGTATCAAAACTCACGTTTAAGGCACTCATCATAGAAGCACGTCGTATTTGCTAGAGTTCTCAGCGTTGTGATGTAACTTTGAATCTTCGTGGCACTCGTGTTTGTGGCAATTGATTGAGTCGGGATATTCTTCAGAGCGTCTTGAATTCGATTGTATTCCCTTTAAAGTAACATTTAGCATTTACAAAACTATTGAAAATTGAAAAACTTGAAGGAATTCTTCAAGGTAAACTCAAAAATGATCGAAAAAACTTTGTTTTCTCTTGATTTTGAGCAATCTTGTCACTCATTGCTCTATTCTGAGCTCGAATTTGTTCTTAAATTTGTTCTTAAAGAAGTTTTGTTTAAGAAATACGTGAAAATGTTTCTTAAAAGTGGAAAAAGAAGATCGAAATTGGATAAAAATAGAGAAAAAGATTATGGTAGTTGGGGAGGTTTTAGATAACAAGTAGCTGCTTGTTTTTAACGAGTAGCTGCTTGTTTTTAACGAGTAGCTGCTTGTTTTTAGAAACTAGATTCAATTCTGTGCAATTCTAAATTGAAAAAAAAAGATGCTAACTGGATAATATTGGGTTGGTGAATTGAAAACTGCCGACTATTGTCATATGTGACAGTTTGAGCACTTTCTTCAAAAGAAACCCATTTTAGTGTCAATAGAAAAGTTGTAGAGAATCAAAAATCAAGCTTATATCCAAATTTTCAGAACGATTCAAAAACTGGTTTTCAGGAAATACCAAATTTACGAATTTTCACAGATGAAATGACGGAAAAGGAGGGGGAGGGGGGTTACGGTATCTGTCTGTCTTTCTGTCTGTCTTTCTGTCTGCCTTACTGTACGGCTCTTTTTTTCATTTTTTCAGCCATATTTTGACCAATATTTCATTTTGCATGAATATTATATTTTAAGTTGTTTTTGGTGTCATTCGATGCGTAATTTCATCCTTCATCAAATGATCGTTAAAATAGTCAATATATTGGGTTGGTGAATTGAAAACTGCCGGCTATTGTCATATGTGACAGTTTGAGCACTTTCTTCAAAAGAAACCCATTTTGGTGTCAGGGAAAAATTGTAGAGAATCAAAAATCAAGCTTATATCCAAATTTTCAGAACGATTCAAAAACTGGTTTTCAAGAAATGCCAAATTTACGAAACTTTCACAAGACTTGCATTTTAAGCGAAATTGCTAAGTGTATCTGTTTGGAAATTTGGCTATAAGCCTAATTTTTGTTTCTCTACAACTTTTCTATTGACACCAAAATGAGTTTCTTTTGAAGAAAGTGTGAGAACTGGAACACTGGGACATCTCCAGTCCTCGATTTTTGAGTCTCACACTTGTCTCACACATTTGTACTGGGATTTGCTGGATAGCAAGACAGACAAGACATGGATAGAGTTAATGCAATCAAATACGGTGAACGGTTGGGAAAGGTGAATGAATCCCTGAAGAAGAATAGGCCCTCCAAGTCAAAGATCGTTCTCATCCACGACAACGCGCGCCCTCATGTTGCAAAACTGACTCGCTCTAAAATAAATAGCCTTATTTGGGAACTTTTGGCGCATTCCCCATACAGTCCGGACCTTTTGATTACTATTTATTCCGGATGATGAGTAATGAGCTTGCGGGAGAACACTTCGATTCGGAAGAAGCAGTCAAAAATTGGCTTTGAAAGTTTTTCGATTCAAAACCAAAATCCTAGCAGAGAAAATTGCCTGTAAATCCGCAAATTGCCTGTAAAATGGGCAGAAGTCGTCAATAATAATGGAAATTATTTGCAATGAATTGATGGTTTTATGTTGAATGAATTTTAGTTCAAAGTCCCGCAATTTTCAATTCACCAACCCAATAGATCGATCAGAAAAGTGATCAATGTTTTGGATTATTTTGATCACCAGTCTGTCATTCAATTAGAATCATTTTATAAATTCTCCATTCTTTCTTTTGTATTCTTTCTCTTTTCCTTTCACTCACCGAATTTGGAACAACAAATGGAGCAAAAAACACTCACCCAATCGCTTCCTGCACACTCTTATTGAGCTCGTTAAACTTTTCCTCAATATCCTTCACATCGTTCGTATTTGTCAAATTTTGATACTTTTTTTCTTCGTTGTCAAGAAGTGCTCTAAAGTTTTAACTGAAGATGAGACTTTCTTTCCCAATTTATCGAAAAAACCCCACTGATCAGTGGCCAAGATTCCCTCTTGTTGTTGCATAAACGCTTTGCTGAGACGAGGAACCTGTAGAAGATAAATCTTGTCTTATCTTATCTTGTCTTATCTTATCTTATCTTATCTTATCTTATCTTATCTTATCTTTCCTTATCAAGATTCTCTATAAATAGATATCTATTTTTATCTAAAACACTTAGCTGAGTGCTTTATTTTTTAAATTTCCTTACCTGAAGCAGATATTTGCATCGTCCATTATCGCATGCCATTGTGACTTCTGAAAAGGTTTGAATTATTCTAGAGAGTCGACTGTACTTAGCCGACTGTCGACTGTACTTAGCCGACTGTCGACCCTACTTAGCCGACTGTCGACTGTACTTATTCTAGAGAGTCGACTGTACTTATTCTAGAGAGTCGACTGTACTTAGCCGACTGTCGACCCTACTTAGCCGACTGTCGACCCTACTTAGCCGACTGTCGACCCTACTTAGCCGACTGTCGACTGTACTTATTCTAGAGAGTCGACTGTACTTATTCTAGAGAGTCGACTGTACTTAGCCGACTGTCGACCCTACTTAGCCGACTGTCGACCCTACTTAGCCGACTGTCGACCCTACTTAGCCGACTGTCGACTGTACTTATTCTAGAGAGTCGACTGTACTTATTCTAGAGAGTCGACTGTACTTAGCCGACTGGCTAAAAGCGCTGTATCTTAGTCGGGAGCTCAATGGTTCAATCCCGGTTAGATTGTTAGATGATTAGCTTTTTTCTCTCATCTATATGAGGGTTTTCCCTACATTTAGGGCTTAGAGGTATTGTTTGTACCATATTATTCCATATCTACCACTATACCTACCGTAAATACTTTAATAATACCCCGCCCTCGTACAGTCGCGTAGTCGCAAAAGTTCTTTAGTATTTCATTTTTTTCAAAGCGCCCGTACTTTCAAAAAATGCGGCTTTGGTATCAAAAAATAGCCCTGAATTTCAGCTATTTTCGATAGAGAAAGACTTGGGGATTCTAATGATACCAAAAAGATTTAAATTGGATAATCCAACACGAAGAAATTTGAGGTCAAAGTTAGGCAACGGGAAAGTGACGACCCTTTGCCATTAGCAAACTTTAAGCTCAAATTTCTCGGTGTGCAGTTGTCCAATTTCAATAGTTTTTCTACTAATCGATAGAGAAAGACTTGGGAATTCTAATGATACCAAAAATACTTCAATTGAACAAACCAACAGCAAGCATTTAAACGCGCATTGTAGCATAAGCCAGTGTCGAGAAAAACTCGTTCAAAGCTAGACTACGCAACACTCCGCACGGTGATTATGGGGCTGGGGTATTATTTCAGGATTTATGATAGGTATTACCTACCATACCTACATATTACCATACCTTAGAGTTATCAAAAGAAGATCCACCCTATTCTAAAACCAAAATTGATGAAATAGATGTTTATTCAAAAATTTGAATAGATTTACAATAGCTTTAGAGCTAAAATAAGTATAAAATTGAAAATCCGAAACCTACGAGCTTTCTTGACAGTGATCGGGATCGGAGTGGTGGTGGTAGTGGTGGTAGTGGTGGTGGTGGGTGCGCCGGCTGGAATTCAATCCTTTGAAACCTTTGAAACTATTTTGAAGCTAGAAAATCGTAGATAGATCAATTCTGTGTCTTTTTTATCTACAGTTTTCAAGATGATACTTTTGATCAATTCTATCTAACCAAAGAAAACAAACAAACAAACAAACAAACAAACAAACAAACAAGCAAACAGACAAACAGACAGACGAACAGACGAACAGACAAACAGACAGACGAACAGACGAACAGACAAACAGACAGACAGACAAACAGACAGACGAACAGATGAACAAACAAACAACAACTCTACTTTTGATCAATTCTATCTAAACTCACTTGTCCCAGCAGGCGTGGTGTCAGGGTTAGCCGATGGCGTCAGAGTGGAGGCCGGAGTTGGTCCTGTTACGGTTGACTGGGGTTCAGTACTTGGGCCTAAACAAGTACAAGTCAACAGGATGGTTTGATAATGATTTTAATTCTATAGATAAATTGATAGAGCGATTCCTGAAAAAATCTCGATACAAAACGTTCTCTGTCAACTGTTCTCTCTCTTTAGCTGCTGTTTTTCTTTTCTGGACTCAATTTTGTCACTCCATTTGTTGTTCAAATCGAATTTTCTTTTATACCATTCGAAAGTTTAAAGTAATTTCTTAAAAACTATATAAAAGTTAAGAATTATCTGAGATCTTTTGTCAGTTTTGCAAAGTTTTGAATTATTAACTGAGGCCAAAGCTGACATTCCGAAGCTTTAGGTAACGGAAAAGAGATTAAACAAGAGATTAAACAAGAGCTTAAACAAGAGCTTAAACAAGAGCTTAAGCAAGAGATTAAACAAGAGCTTAAACAAGAGATTAAACAAGAGCTTAAACAAGAGCTTAAACAAGAGCTTAAACAAGAGCTTAAAGAGCTTAAACAAGAGCTTAAACAAGAGCTTAAACAAGAGCTTAAACAAGAGCTTAAAGAGCTTAAACAAGAGCTTAAACAAGAGCTTAAACAAGAGCTTAAACAAGAGCTTAAACAAGAGCTTAAACAAGAGCTTAAACAAGAGCTTAAACAAGAGCTTAAACAAGAGCTTAAACAAGAGCTTAAAGAGCTTAAGCAAGAGCTTAAAGAGCTTAAGCAAGAGTTTAAACAAGAGTTTAAGCAAAAGCTATCATTTCCTTAGTTAGTTTTCTATAGACTATTTGATCTTTCTATTCCTATTGATTCCCACAATTCCCACAATTCTCTTTTTCTATTCATTTCATTTCCTGTTTCCATAATGGAATTGTGAATGTTTTCCATAATGAAATTGTGAAGTTTCTCCGGTTTTTATGCTAAATCCTAAAGTTTTCTTCCACTTTCACCAATTTATCTTCCTATTATATCGTTCCGCCCGTTTTCTATTTATCATTTAAGAATACTTTTGTTTTCTTTCCATTTCTCTCGACTTTCTTCTACTCAATTGCCTTTAAATCCTTTTGCGTACTGCACTTTTTACGTACGTACGTATTGCATTTAGCTTTCTCTTTCAAATAAAACCCACAAAATCTTAATCTTCTTGAGTTTTTTTGTCTAATTATTTTCAAAAAGGATTGATGAGTAAAAAGGTATTGGGTAAATAATTATTTTCTTTTCTTACCGGGGCTTTCCGTTGTGTGAGTGGCTTTGGCAGGCTGGGTGGCTAGAAAAGATCAATGAGTAAACAGGTAAATGGTTATTTTCTTTTCTTACCTGGGTTTCCCGTTGTCGAAGTGGCTGCGGAAGGCTGGGTGGCTAGAAAAGATCGATTTCTGGATCGATTTCTGGATCGATTTCTGGATCAATTTCTGATCGATTCTTGATCAATTTCTGGATCGATTTCTGGATCAATTTCTGGATCAATTTCTGGATGAATCCAGTTAAATCTCAAATCATTTACCTAACTGGATCATTTTTATTTTCTGTACAAGTACACAAGATCAATTTTGGTCTGCTATAATACCAATTTTAAGTATCAATGTGATTTCTAGCATAAGAGTATCCATTCCTTGAGCTACTGTACGATTTTCATACATTAGAATCAATAAATGTACAGTAAAGTTCTCTGATTTGATACAAATCTAGCATTTAACACTTGTAAATCATAAAGGTGATGATAAAGAACTGATTTTATCGTTCTTATCGTGCGATATTGTCAATGGCGTCAAAGTCAATGATCGTTGGCGTCAAAGCCAATGATCGTTGGCGTCAAAGTCAATGATCGTTGGCGTCAAAGTCAATGATTGTACAGGTTATCCTGTTGCTAGAAGCTGCTTTGCTTTTGTTTTTGGCTTTTGTTTCGAACTCACAACCCTTATCCACATAAATAAATATACAATTGATTGAGCGATCAAAGCCAAATCACCTTTTGTACCAGTTGAGCCTAAAACTAATATTTCCAAATATATTTTGATTTTAAAAAAAACCTTGCATTGTCGAACTTTGCGGCAAACTGGTACCTAAATTTTCTCAGTTAAAACCATAAAAGCTTTTATTTAAAATATTCAATAATATTGGAGATTTTGAATTCAAAACCTTGCGCTGTCGAACTTCCATCGACGCCAACTAAATTCTTCAATAAGTTTTAAATATTCAGGCAAAACACAACAAACAAAAAGAAAAATTTCAGCATTTCCTTACCACTGCTGCTGGATGGTGGATCTAAAATGAAATTTTCAGTTTTATTCCCAAAAATTGAAATCAAACCGCTTGCCACGGATGAGGCAACGGTGGATGGGGAGCTGGAAGCCTAAAAACATTTATTCTTTAAAGAATTGTAAGACAATTATTCAGTTAAATGTTTCATTTTTCTACTTTCTACTGTACTCTATTTATAGTTCTACAGTAGTTCTTATTTGTCTTATTTGTCTTATTTCTTATTTGTCTTATTTCTTATTTGGCTTATTTCTTATTTGTCTTATTTCTTATTTCTTATTTATCTTATTTCTTATTTGGCTTATTTCTTATTTATCTTATTTGGCTTATTTCTTATTTGGCTTATTTCTTATTTGGCTTATTTCTTATTTCTTATTTGGCTTATTTCTTATTTGGCTTATTTCTTATTTATCTTATTTCTACAGTTCTTCTTCTAAAGACGAGCTCTTATTTGTTTGAGCTTGAAATCAAAGCTCCAATTTGGCTCTAGTTTTCGAAATTAGAGTGTGTTCGCATTTCGCAAATCGCAAATCGCAAGTAATACGCTTTTTTTTTAAAACGCACACTTAGGAAAAATTACCGTACGAGTAATCGAGTTAAATGAGAAACTTTTGGCGAGAATTATTGCAAAAAATTGACTCAAAAATCATGAGCGCTGAGTTATATACGATTTCTTTTAAAAATATTCAACTGTTTAACTGATTTCGGTGGGGAAAATCTCTTCAAATGGAAAGATATTGAATTTAATCGACGTGTAAAGAGGATTACTCGTAGTTACTCGGCGGAAAAGGTCGATTAATCGAGTAAAGAATTACGAATTACGAATTAGGCAAAATTTTACTCAAGTAATTATTTACTGGCTATTTACTGGCGATTTTGAATAGATTGTGTTCCTTCCGAGTAATTATTTACAATATTACTCGGAAGGAACACAGTTGGTGACGATTTTACAGTTTCCAAGCTTTTGCAGAAGCTCAACTCTCAAAGCCCCCACTAGATCTCATCGTCAGCTACATTTTCCGACCCCACATCGATAGGTTCTGATAAGCGGTTCTCGAGATTTCAAGGAATTTAGGCGACGCTCACGGTGCACTAGTATTAGAGAAAATACGGTATAAAAAACAAAGAAAACAAAGAAAAAAACTATACTTAAAGCATAGAAACAGGTACAAAATCCTAGAAGATTCTAGAAGAAATAGTAAAATCTGAAAGAAAATAGAGTTCTAGGATTAGCAAGGCTCTTTAACAAGCAAGGCTCTTTAACAAGCAAGGCTCTTTAACAAGCAAGGCTTTAACAATCAAGGCTCTTTAACAAGCAAGGTTCTTTAACAAGCAAGGCTTTAACAATCAAGGCTCTTTAACAAGCAAGGTTCTTTAACAAGCAAGGCTCTTTAACAAGCAAGGCTCTTTAACAAGCAAGGTTCTTTAACAAGCAAGGCTCTTTAACAATCAAGGCTCTTTAACAAGCAAGGCTCTTTAACAAGCAAGGCTCTTTAACAAGCAAGCCTTTAACAAGCAAGGCTCTTTAACAATCAAGGCTCTTTAACAAGCAAGGCTCTTTAACCCATTCGAAACCGAAGCGTTTTTTCTTTTTTTTCGTCTGCGGACCAAGCCCTTTTTTGACATTTTTGACTCCGAAGCAGTTTATTTATGGTTGGAAAGATGTAAGAGAGTCTCCTACACCATTTATTTTTGATGAAGAACGATTTGGATTTGACTTCAGTACTTTTCAAGATCCTATCGATTATTATTCTTATTTTATCGACGACAAATTAATCAATATGTTAGTAGGCGAATCTAATAAACATGGAAAAAGGAAAACAAACTGGCAGGATTTCGATGTAAAATCTTTGAAGCTCTTCCTGGCTCTGTATCTTCAAATGGGAATCGTCAAATTACCGAGGATTCGTGACTACTGGAGTAGCAGGCCTGGATTAGGAGGATTTTTCCCACATTACGTCAAGAGCAAAATTTGAATCTATTCTTCGAAACCTGCGCTTTTGTGATAATGAACTGGATTCTGCAGGAGATCGGCTTTATAAGATTAGAGCTATTATGGAAAATTTCAATGCAAAACCAGAGGCTGCATTGATGCCGGGTAAATATGACACATCTTTTTCGCCCACGTAATTTGTAGATCTGTTACAATTCGAATATACATGTAATGCTGAAAAACAGCAAAAAAAAAAAAAAACAATTAATTGAATGAAAATAGCTCAATTAGCGCTGCAGCGAATAATCGCTGCTGCGGTCCGTTCCTGAGTTTTTGCTGCAGCGATTGTTCGCTGCAGAAGTTTCGAATGGGTTAACAAGCAAGACTTTAACATCGACTATAACTAGAATCAAATCAGAAAAGAGATTTCTTTCAAAACTAGCGCAATCGTTTATCTGCTTTTGATGCTTTTAAGTAAATAAACGATCCCAAAGCACCGGTTTTTAAAACATAAAATTCCACTTACATAAACACTCGCCAGCAACAACAACCCACACAGTATAAAGCCTCTCATTTCTGTAAATATGCAAATTTTTAAGTAAATGTAAATGCAAAAAACGTTTAAGCGTCTAGTTATTTATTTAAATTTTCAAAAAAAAAAAAGCTTGAAAAGTTTAGAGACTTTGTAAAGTTTAAAAGGGATATTGAATAAAGAAAGGACACTAGCTTTATCTTATTAGATCTAGATTACATTACATGACAGATCTAGATTACATCTAGAATTCTAGAAAGGTGATCTTCTTCTATCTTTCTTAAAAGCTATAATTTTCTTTTTAAAAAATAGATTCTTGAAAAATCTTTTTGTTAAAAAGAAATTTTTCTTGGGTGTGTCAAAAAGAAAACCACAAAAAGCCATGTAAATTTTATCAGTTTCCCCCAAAATGCCATAAAACATACAGAAGCCATTCCCCTTGTCAAACATTTGATTAAAATCAAATTTTTGAAGAAAGGAGAAGCTATAAAATTGCTGGTGACGTAAAGCTGAATTAGAAATAAGAGAAGTTTTTGAGGAAAGAAATTGAATAAATTAAAATAAATTGAATGAATTGAGTAAACCCTTGACCCAAAATCAAATATTTTTCCACGATTTTGCCAGTAAGGAAATTGTCAGTAAGGAAAAGGAAAGGAAGCAGTTGATCCACCATATAATTCAAACATATAACCATCAGATTTTCACCTCTTCAAATCGATGCAACATTTCCTTGCGAATTGCCAGTGAAAGAATATCAGTTTAAGAATGCGAAAGAGGTTTAGATTTGGGTGAGCAACTACAGTGGAACCTCTCTATAACGTAACTCACGGGACGGCTATAGCTTACGTTATATAGAGGTTTACGTTATATAGAGTGCCGTTTTATATAGCTTAACGTCGGCCGGGACCGGTCACGCCTTACGTTATAGAGAGGTTTACGTTATATCGAGGTTCGTTATAGAGAGGTTCGACTGTACTTTCAATCACAGAATCAAGAGCTCTTCGATAAGGGGATCCGCAATCTGAAGAATTCCCATAAGATCCATTGCAAAATGATAGAATCACAATGATTGACGTCCAAGCTTTCAAAATGGCTTTTTTTGAGTTGCGAAATAGTGTCATAAGTCTTTCCATTATAAATATTCCTCAAAAAAATGTCCCACAAATTTTCTATTGGGTTTAAGTCCGGTAAGCAGGCAGGCTATTCAAGAAAATCGATGTTGTGACGTTCTGGGAAAGGTTTAGCGGATTGGCCGACATGAATTGAACCATTTAAATGAACCATTGAAATAAACCATTGAAATGAATCATTGAAATGAAAAGAAAACAAATTGGAAAAGTTTAAGAATGCGCAACTCTTGATTGCGCTTCAGATTGCGGATTCCCTTGTCGAAAAACTCTTGATTCTGTGATTGAAAGTAGTTGCTCACCCAAATCTAAACCTCTTTCGCATTCTTAAACTGATATTCTTTCACTGGCAATTCGCAAGGAAATGTTGCATCGATTTGAAGAGGTGAAAATCTGATGGTTATATGTTTGGATTATATGGTGGATCAACTGCTTCCTTTTCCTTTTCCTTACTGACAATTTCCTTACTGGTAAAATCGTGGAAAAGTATTTGATTTTGGGTCAAATTCCAGCCTGCCCCCCAACCCAACAACTCTAGCCCCATATCTTTAATCTAAAACAACTTAAAAGTGTTTTTTTTTCGCAATCATGTATCCAGCTTGGAATCAAGAGACTCCAGAATCTCTCATGTACTTTTTTGAGCCCCAAAATGACTCCAAAGTGACTCCAAAGTGACTCCAAAAAAGATCTTACGATAATTTTTCTTATTTCAACTCATACCTACAGCATTTTCACCTATATTGTCAAGTTTTTGAGTGGCTTTTTTTCTGGGCTTTATGTTAGGAATGCTTATTGAAAGGCTTGCTTATTGTTAGGTTGAGTGAAAAACGATCAAAACCGGATCCCACATTGTGATCTAGAAAGGAGTTTTCGGGTGCTCCACCGAATGGTTGACTGTAATCCAAAGTAGCCTCAGCCTCCTCTCAATTTCCTTTCTTTTTCCTTTCTTTTCCTTTCTTTTCCTTTATCCATTGACAATCCACCCGGTCCCCTTCTCCTTTCCAAAGCTTAATCCCCAACAAACACTCCCCTTTGAAGGTTTTAGGATCGCTAAAATCGGTTTTAGATCGCTAAAATATTTGAATCTTTTGAATATTTAGATTTTTTTCAGAATGATTCTCATTTTCTTTTATCTAATGCTATGTCAATCCCATTTTAAGTCATTTTCAGTCATTCTTTAACTTTAACTTTTCTTATCTTTCAATTCTAAAGGAAATATCTAATTTTTCTAGATTTAGAATCTAGAAGATCTAGAAGATAGCTAGCCTGTTACTGGATCTAAGTTGCTTTAAAGATATACCGGTTTTGATTTATTTGGTTTACTCGGCATGATAATCCCAATTCGCAGGCATTTCTAGATTTTTCTTTTCTTTCTACTTTTTCGAAAGAGCATATCTAATGATCTAATGATTGATAGAGTGTATCTAATGATCTAATGATCGAAAGAGCGTATCTAATTTCCGACTTGGCGTATCTAATGATATCAAGAAAATTGAAATTGAACAGCCAAACCAAGAACACCAAGAAATTTCTTCATCCAGATGTGGTTCCTTGTCGGCTTTCTCATCTCAACGGCATCAGCCTTTTTGTTTGGCGGTGGGAATTCGCAGGTACTACAAGACAACTTACGGACTAGGTCACCGTAGGATTTCGAAATGAAAACCAGAAATCTCATTGTGAAAAATAAAAAGCAAAAGACGCCGCATAAACTGTATAGCTGTATAGCAAGCCTGTATAGCAAAAACTTTTAGCCCAAAAATCTTGCCTCTAGAACCTATTCAGCAGATTTTGTTTACAGAATCGGATTTCGCGTTTGATTTTCTATCGAATGAGCTAGGACTCGTTTAGAAATAATCTAATATAAGAATTTTATGAATAGAAGCAAAATAGGACGGTCGTCTGTTCTGTCGTCTGTTCTGTCGTCTGTTCTGTCGTCTTCTGGCTACGTGGCCGGCCCATCTGAGTCTTTTTCTCTCGATCACTTTCACTGGATCTCTGAGCCCCGAGAGCTGGCGCATATCCGTACTTCTTAGGTCTTGGTCGAGCTGCGTCTTCCTATTGTGCCCGAGTGCCTTTCAAGGGCTCGATGCGTCGTTCCCAGGGCTAAGAAGAAAAGTTACTAGTCTAAATAACCTAGTAACCTTTCTTACACCTTCATGATACACACCCACACCTTCATTCTTTGAATCCCCGTGCTGGTACAAGAAAAATAAAGATTTAAGTACGCCAGAGTTTGCGTTACAAGTACATTCACGAGTTTTACTGTTAGAATCATAGAAATTCAAAGATTGATAGGAAAAAGGTGGAAATGTTTAAGGAAATCATTAAGGAAACTCTTTAGTGTTGTCCGCCATGCAATCCGCTTCCGATCTGCGCCCCTCAACCAATCTGTCCTCCACCTCCATTGTGTCTCCCTCCACCCCCAACTCTACCACCAATATCATTGCCGAAATTGGTAAATGTTTAAGGCAAACTTTGAAACAATCTTCTAGAGTATCTTCTTGTTTTAAGACTATCAAAACTAGCATAATCAAGCTGTCAATGGATTCGATTATTCAATCCAATCCAATTTTGAATCCAATTTCTAGGGTGGTTGCTGTAACTCGTGCGGTGGTTGCATGAAAAAAGTGAAGCGCTCAATCGACGAGGAAATGATGGAAGAGCCACAAGAGCCACAAATTGAGGCTACGGTAAGTGGGAATGGTTTAGAAAATTGAATTCTCATTTCCCTTTTCAGGATGCGATGATCTCTCGTCGTGAACGCGCGTCTTCGGATGATGTTGTAAAGGTTGACGCGAAATGTAACAGTCCAGAGTTAAGGGAAATCATCATCAATGTACTGACTGTTTTCTATACTCTAATTTATATAAATATTTAAGAATATGGATCGAGTGACTTCAGTGGCGAAGAAACGAATTCAAACGGCAGCTGAAGAGGAGCTAGGAGCGAGGTGAGCTGTGCTCAAGGGTTATTTAAACACATCCTTTCTAGCTGTCTAGCTTTCATCCTTTCTAGCTGTCTTTCTAGTGTTCTGCTTTTCTCTGTACTTTGTGCTCATTTCTTTTGAAGAATTAGGTGGACCAGAAAGGAATTAGGTGGGCCCGAAAGGAATTAAGTGCGCCAGAAAGGAATTAGATGCACTAGAAAGGAATTAGGTGCGCCAGAAAGGAATTAGATGTACCAGAAAGGAATTAGATGCACCAGAAAGGAATTAGATGCACCAGAAAGGAATTAGATGCACTAGAAAGGAATTAGGTGCGCCAGAAAGGAAACGTTTACAATTAAAAGAATTTCTGATTTGATTTTAGATTCAACGTGATTTGTGCTCGTGGTGATTTCTCTTACATTACAAACACCGAATTGTACTGTCAACAAACTGTTGGTGATGTCACTTGCTATGTCTTCAAGCAACTCTCCGATATTGTTCGAAGCAAACTCTAGACAAATTTTGATCTATATCTATATTCATTTACAGTGAGATTTAAAGTGTTTAGCTTTATTTATTTCATTTTTTGTCATTTCATTGCGATAGTTTCGTTAAATAAAGAAAAAAAGCACAAAATTTTAGTATTTTATTCCAGAATTAAACAGAAATTTGATTATCGAACCGTTTTCCCATCGAGAATCCAACTTTTAGCTCTAATTTCTTTGTGTCTGGCTTTTCAATTTATAAATTATTGATATCATTAGATGCGCCAAGTTTTCCTCTATCGATTGGTATAAAAATTATTTAAATTCAACAGTCCGACACCGAGATATTTGAGCTAAAAGGAGGCGGGGTGCGTATAAAAGGTCCGTCGCCCCGCCCCTTTTCCCATTGGCAATCCAACTTTTAGCTCAAATATCTCGGTGTTGAGCTGTCCAATCTTAATAGTTTTTGTACCAATCAATAGAGAAAGCCTTGGCACATCTAAT